AACTTGTTTCCTTTGGGAACAGTCACAAACACATGCTTCTTCCTTCTCAACTGCCACTCAATCACATTACAACATAGCAACCAAATAGAAGCTCTGTTCTGTTTGGGAGAAGGGTTGTTGATCACTATACAGTGGGGCTGCAATCTCTCCAGTTGCTGCCAAATACCATCTTGACCCTTCATAGTGGAAAAGTTGTATCCTGCCTTGAAGTCCATAGGATATGCAACTTTAACACCATTCTTTGAAAGGAACCAAGATAATCCACTGTTTCCATGAAGTAACTCAACAACATCAGGATGATCATCATTACAGAAGAAAAAGGACTGTTCTCCAAATTCGGCATCAACATACAGTTCGTGATCTTCACGTAAGTTCTCCGGATTCTCATCGTCTAATGCCGGTATGGAAACATCATGCCACTCATCGTGATCACGTCTAACCTTCGACTGATTCACACGTACCACTGCCTTACCAGTGTTGGCTTGGACCATAGCTCCTTCTTGTCCAAGTACTGTGGCACGAACCCAACGTCCTTTATCCTTGAACTTTGATGAATCCTGAGTCCAAACAAAAACCTTCTCTCCTTGGAAATAAGGACCGTCACTTGGCATAGTCCTTCTTGCAAGATCTGCTCGAAGGTCCTGAGCTTGTCGTGCTTCTTGATGAGCTCTCAAAGCCACACGTTGTAGTTCCAAATTTGTACGATCTTGTGCGGCGGCATTAGCTGATAATTGCTCAGGGCTTGCGGTCTCAAGGTCAAAAAGATCTGGTGGACGCCTTCCAGTTGCTATCTCTATTGGTGAATATCCACTGATAGTCAACTGACAATTTCTTGCCCACACTACTTTCTTGACCACTTCTCTGACCGTAACACCACGAAAACGTGGGTCATCCAGATCTACCTTCATAACATGCCACATACGTTTGAACAAACGTACAGCTGTCTCTGCTCGGTTCGGCCAAGGAGTTCTTGGCCCACAAGGACATTGTTGTATACCATGGAACCTGTAGTATTCAACAAAAGCATCGGTGAAAAAGGCTTCGTCTCCTACGATGGCCTTTGGAACACAGTTGTTCTCATCAGACCATTGCCTCAATGCTTGGATGGTGGTTTGATCTATGAGGTCTTTCTGCGCCGTAGCCCAGAGAAGATTTGTGGCACCATCAAGAACAAGTAGAATGATATACTTGTTCTTGTGAAGTTCAACCTCACAATGATCAGCAAAAACAACATCACCAAAACATGAAGCTCTAATACCGGAGACTCTGGCTCGTGGCGGAGGTGCCACTGAAGTGTTACAAACACGGCAGTTCCTGACAACTGATTCATACTTCTCTAAAGCAGAGTCAGGAAGCTTCAACATAGAAACACGTCTACGAAACTGAGTAGGACTCATATGGTAGTGCTTCACATGAAGCTTATAAAGCTCTACCTTGTCCTCCAGTCTCTGTAACATCTTCCTATATGCCGGTGTCATTGCAACAACTTCACTACCAGGTAATGGGATTGAAATCCGCCTAGGCTCAAGAGCGCCATCACCTGGTTCAAGTGGTTCATGTTTATCACTTGATGGTCCTTTTGATGCTTTAGGAATTTCTACAAGTTCACCTTCTGGCCTCTCAGGTGGTTCTGAGGGAGCATACTCCTCAAGATCATCACCCTTTAAATCATTCTGAGGCTCAGATGGTTTCGACTTGTGTCCTTTCCAAAATGGATCAAAACCCTTGGAAGTATACCGAAACTTTGGCGGCGCGGGCTTTTCCGCGGCACTGGATGGTGCACCTTCCTTCTCTGATGAGAAGCCTGGTTCCCTGTCCTTTGCAATGGGAACCTTCTCTGAGGAGGAGCGCACCACTGCATCGGGATCACCAATGCCACGGTGCTCAATGCCAGCCTTCCTGATCTTTAGATCTGGAATTTTGGCATCTGGCTTAAATTTAAAAATTGTTCTACCACGCCATTCATAGCCAAGTTGTAGGTCCTTCCATTTTGCCTTGCGCCAATCATCGGTCTTTTTGATTTCTTCTCCTCCTGCTTTCTTCTTGATGATTGTCAGTCGCAAGTCTTCCAGCAAGTCAGTGTCTACAGGACAGGACTTAGTTGCTGGGAAAAGAATTTTCCTGTAATCCTTGTGGTGACGTATCAGTTCTCTCTTGTGAACATCTACTTCCCAGAAATCAACCACAGGATATGCATGCTCAGCTTCACCTTCATCACTATTGTGTTCAACAGAAATATGGCCATATTCATAGTGAGTGAGGTGAGAGTAAAAACTCTTCTCACGCTGAGTCTGCCAACGCACGTCAGACAGATACCATGCAATATCTTGGAAGTCCAACACAAGATGAGTACTGGCTGCAACCTTCAACTCCAAAAATTTGATACCAAGAGGCACCGATGTCAGATAAGCATGTTGAGGTGTCAGCCTGAGTTCAAAGCCTAAGTTCCTCATCTGTGGCAAGCTCATAAGCAAAGGGACTTCTCCTTCTTCCACTATGTCGAACTCTGTATGGTGGATCGTCCATGCACGATCATACATATAAATCACCAGTTTCTGAGAGCAAGTAGCCTTCTGGGAATTGGCAAAGTAAAACTTGCTCTTGGTAGACTCAAAAGAGTACCATAATCCACAATCTGGGTGATTGTCGACATAGTTGCAAAAATGGTCGACTGCTCGCCTTGATCCCATAGCTCTAGTGCATCCAATGTCCAGGATTGCAATAGTTGGCGGGAAGCGATTCTCAGTCAAAAATGAAATAGCCTGCATCTCCTTCACTTCTTCCTCAGCGCTCATAAGCGCAAAGCCATCAGCGCTCATAAGCGCAAAGCCATCAGGAGCCTTTGTGAGCATCTCCTTTGACAAAGAGTACCTCACAGGGGCACTCATGTCATCGAAGATCGTCTCACCATTGTTGACCACGCAGTCAGCTTCATCTTGGCATGAGGTCATCATGCCTGACAGCAAGTCCACCTCACTGTCATGGACTTCAGCTGCTGCTGTCACACAATGTGCAAAGAAACCTTGTTGACCTCCTGATGCTTGTGAAGTTCTTGAAGGCGCAGGTAAAGAACGTGGCTGTTGTTGATTTGCATAGTTTGCATCTTGTTTGCCATCTCCTTTATCCTTTCCTTTTCCTTTCTTGCCTTTTCTCTTGCCTTTTCCTTTTCCTTTGTGGGAAAACCATGCTTCTTCAAGCTGTTGCCAAAAGTCATTGGCATCATCATATTCTCCTTGAAGATAGTCATTCATATCCTCGGCAAGAATGGCATCATATGCTCCTTGGGTTGACTCCCAAGTGTCCTCATAAGGATTCTCTTCAAGGTATTCATCTGGAAAAGTTGTCTGTTGCTCATCAGCAAAATGGCCTTTACCTCGTCTCTTTCCTTTTCCTTTTCCACGAGGTCTGAAGAATCTACGGCCTGATCTTCCTTTTCCTTTTCCTTTTCTTCTACCTTTTCCTTTGCCTTTTCTGGCTCTTCTTCCTTGGAATCTCCTTTGGAACCACGAGAAGTTTTGATCATCATATACCCAAAAGACATCGTCCAGGGCATCTAAAAATCCTTCTGTTCCATCTTCTTCATCTTCGGCCCAATAGCCAAATGTACCATCGAGTTCTCCTTCGTCTAGTACGAGAAATGATCTTCTACCTCCAGCACCTGTCGGCTGCATCAATGGATTGTCTACTGAAGTCTTTGTCGTGCAGAACATCTCGATGAAAACTGTCCTCAGCTCTGTTGTAGTGTATTGCTGCAGGTACCTGCCACGATGAGTCATCAACGAAGTCAAAGTGTTTCGCTGGTCCTGAGACAAATCTGCAAGGGACAGCATGAGTAGGGCAATGAGATTCTCTCCTAAAGGAAAATCATTCTGATGAAGAATTCTCATATTGCCATTGACATTCTGCATGATTTCCTGAATCCTTTCTGCCGTTGGTGCTACTCCAGTCAACGCTGCATCTGCCTGCATCTGAGCAAGGACTTGGGGATGTGCTTGAGTGACTGGTTCTAACATGTCCATCCAACTGCTCATAAGCCTTTGGAGTAAAATCTGGAATCTTGTCATCCATTTCATCATGTCGGCTGATCCTCGATTGAATCGCACGAATTGCATAAACCTGTATAGGAATACATTGGTTGATCCTTTCACGAAATATGGTCGTAGTACTCGTTTGAAGTAATCTACTCCTGCTCCTGGTGGCTCATTAGCCTTCAATGAATCTCTGTCTAATACACGTTTGTATACTGCTGCTTCTCCTTCTAATCTGTTTCTCAAAGCTGGTCCTCTCTTCTCATCTTCCAGCTCGGTGATATCACACCAATCGTCTATGGCATCCTCATAGGAAAACCATGAAATCTTTCCATCATAAGATGGGGGCACCTTTGTAGTGACCTGTGTTGTCATTGCTATTGCTGCTGGTTCTCTTCTCACATGCCTATTCACGTAGGCTGCTGGCTCATAAGCCACATCTGCATCAGGCTCTTCCCAGTCATCTATCCAATCCATGGCCGTTTGCCCACTAGCAATTCTATGCCTAGGAAAGGAGCTCACCTGGGTCTTCCAGGATCACTGCTCCGCTACCACTGAAAGAGTGACTAGGGCGTACACGGTAGAGGTGCAGACCGCTAGTGTCTTTTATGCGCAGAGTCTTATCCTCTTGCTCTTTGAGCCTTGAAGCAGTCAAGCATGGACACACTATATCAGCTGTTGGAGTGGAACCCTGTACAGGTAGGCTCTACTTTTCAGGGGGGGGTGGGGGTCTGTATTGAAAAATCAATTCCAAGGGGGCGGGGGGGGGGGGGGGGTCTGAATTGAGCGATCAATTATTAGACCCGGACGTCCCAACACTTGCTTCGCAAGACAAACTCAAGGTATCCCCTAAAGGGCTACCTTTCGTGAAATGGTCATTTTGAGCACCTGGGTGCCTTGAATCTGTAGAGGAAATTTTGCAGGGGATGGTTTAGTTATGTTTAGTTGATCACCCCCCTTGCCCGCCCTTGCCTTTGTTCCATCTCCCGCACAAGGGTCTCGGTCCGATCGTTGCTCTCCAACAGCATAAGGCGCTGGTCTGCGTCCAGCGGCACAACAGGGACAAAGTCGCTCAGACTGCTTCAAGGCATGGAAGACTGAATGTTTCTCAAATCCTTGGCATGTTGGATTTCCGAAGCAAGGCCTTCAAAGGCAGATTGGAGCTTCCCTTGCACGGCCTGCAGCTTCAAAGGCTCTGCCGACTCTCCGATCAACTATTTTTAACGCACTTTGGAGGACGTTTGAATGCAGTCGGCAACTGTTATACGGGGAAGACGCTGTAACTGTACAGTTGCGACTCGACTTCATAGTTGGACGAAGTGTTGGACGAACTTCTTTGTTCCAATGATATTTATCTAAGCTGATTCAGCCAGCTGCCAATTTGATTCATCATTGCAGCATTGTATACGCTCGTCATTCTTCTGAGCAACGCTGTTGGGTACCCACTGGACTGCCAGGAGCTGTGGTTCGACACTCTCCAAGCGTTGATCAAAAGCGCCTCCCGAGCTTTGCTTTCCCTGTCCAGCTGCTCTTGTAGCTGCTTTCTTGCACTTTCCATGGCTTGCCTGCGAGCATTTATCCTCAAAAGCCTGGCCTTTCTTGCAAATAGGGGTTTAAAACGGAAGCCTAACATCTTGAATGAAACGAAGACACACATGATCGACATGCTGTAGTGGGATTCTCATACAGTAGATCAACATGAAGACGCATAGGAGGAAGCAGTGTCTACATCTGCGTGACATGCTTTCGCGGTGACCTGGAAATTTCACCTTGCTCGCAGACCAGGCTTTTCACCTTTGACCTCAGTCCGTTGCTTCGTCTCAGGCACACATCTCGCACGCCAACGGACCGACAAGCAAGCAAAACAAGCGAGGATGGGTTTCCACATGGCCGATGCCTTGGATGAGGAAAAAAAGGCCCTCAAAACTCCAAGCTTCTTTCTGGCATGAATGCAACAAAGCCAGAGATATGACGTGAAGATCATAATGCACACCTGCGGATGCGGGCTCTATGGTTGTCTGCGTTGAAGTCATAGATTGTGATTATCTTCCAAAACAAACCTCGGGATGTATGAGGCCACAACTTCATGGATTTCAGTACTTGGTCCACCTCCTCAGCCAAGCTTTGTCTTGTAGCCACCTTGCAAGCAAGAGCAAAATCATGTCCCTACCCTAAACGTCAATTTTGTATTTATTTGTATAGAATGATATAGAATCTAGAATGTATAGACAAATAAACATAATCGGAGGCGAGTTTAATGCGCTTCTCGATGTCCTGCCCTGCAGGTGCCTCGCAAACGCTTGTCTGCACACAGCAGCAGTCCCCATTTGTCCATGTGTGCAACGTGCTGCAGTTTGTTGATAAAGCATTGCTGCTTCTCAAACGTCCGACGGGGAATTTGCTGTGTAGAGCTGACATCCTGTAACATGTCAACATCTTTGCCACGGAACATGTCCACAGGTCTGCCAGGTCTGCGCCTCTGCCTCCAAGGCAGTGCCAAGCTCTTTTACGGTTGTGTCCAGTTTCTGAACCGAGTCCTGAGCTCAGATTGCCTCCCGGCTGAGCCCAAAAAACAATGCGAAAAGTGCCTGCTGAACCCAAAATTATGCAGAGCCTCTGCAAAGCTTGCTCATCCACAAAGTTCCATTCTCTAATGGCATTGGACTATCGAGCACTATCATGGCTGTTCCAATACAAGCAAAATCCCGCCCAAAAGAAAAACGCAGATTGGAACTACTTCTCTGCATGGCTCTACGTGTGGTCCTTCAGGAGGGCTGTGAGTCAGCCACTATGTCTTTGAAAGCATTTCCCGAAAGGGCAAGGAAGTCCGGAGGATAACTTAAATGTGTTCCATTCCAGGAGTGTAAATTTTAGAAAAGGTTACGTATGCACTGACGCAACTCTCACAGAGGATGGAGGAAGACGTGTGCATTTCGGTCGCTCTTGCAATCTCTTGGGTATCCATGCCGTCCGCTTCTGAAGCTCATCGTCAATATGGTGCTGGAGCTCCTGCAAAGCAGTGCAGCAATTGACACTTGTACTGACAATCATTAAAGGTTCCTTCTTGTTCTGTGGTTGGACAATTCCAGCAATTGAAAGGAACACGTGTCAACAGAAGTGCAAAATGCTTACAACATGCGCTATGCAAAGCTGCCATCTCGGAGTCTTCCAGAGTGCGCACGCTCTGCAATAACTACCACGACAAGATGCCCCAACGACAAGATGAAGAATGTACCAACATTCATTCAGATTCTTAAGAATGACCCCAACATGCTGGAAGAGGAGAATGGAACGAGCAAACCATGGTGGGGTATGAAACGGTGACAGATACATTCTTTGTTTGTTGTCTATCGACATTTGCAACATGGTTTAAGTTGTCTACAATCATTCAAGACGTGGTCCTTGAAGCGTGCACTCATGGCGTTCAAGGAGTGATCAGCCTGGCAACTGGAGCGATCAGCTAAGGGTTTAGAATGCATCGGGAATCAATTTGCTTTGGGTTTCAAGTCCCGAAAACAGCCCCATCGATTGCTCAGGCCAAGCTTCGGTAGAAACGAAGCAAGCAATCACAGGCTGGTGAATAGAATCTGCAGTCAAATGCTTATTATATAGATATAGGGACACATAGACTTGGAACAGCGTAACAGGAGGTCACCCGCCCTGTAGAGCAAGATCCGGCAAGAAACTGTACCGTTTACCGACAAGTACGCATGCTGGCGTTGAGGTCAGCTCCAAAGACACCAAGAATCTCACGGCCCACGGCCCATTGTGGCGCTCAGCACCTCGTTGAGTTTTGAACGATGATGAGATACAGACTCCTTGAGGCCACCCAGCTCCTGGCATGATTGCCGCTGCAAAGAAATGATGTGCATCCACTTGGGTATAACGACCTGGCTTATTGTCAGAACAACTAAATAGCCGAGTGACAGAATAGTCTTGACAAAACGGAAAGCATAATCAAAACATATCAAAACCTTCCAGCATCTTCCAACCGCATTCCACCCCAGTGTACGTGTTCATTTCGGTGTGTGATTTTCCCCCCTCCATTTGACTGGATTGGATGCAATTCTCCACTTAGCGCATCTTGTTGAGAAAGTGACCAAGCTGACGGATCTGTCTGTGGAAAAAGCGCACGGAGTGCACTGATCTGAGGTCTGGCTTGGTGTGCCAACGGATGCCCCCATGGCTTGCTCACAACCACTGACGATTGCCCCCAAATGATCCGGTGCTTTGCCACTCCTAAATGTGGCATTGTCCGTCCAGCCATGATCCAGATACACAGTGCAAACGATAAGCAATATTAAAACAGTGTTACCTAAATCCGTCAGATTATATAAAGGCTATGTTTCTTGATCTTGGAATGTATCGGCTTCGAAATTGCTCCGATCCCCACTGGGAAAAAAACCTATTGAAACTCGCAAAATCGGATTTGGCCAAAATATATGGTAATACTGTAACACTTGATTATATAAATTGAAATGAGCGCTAGAAGCACTGGGAACATCTTCAATAGAACTGTCTATTTAGAACGACTAGTGCACCAAGTCATGGAGTTCACCAAGCTCCTTCTGAACAGAGTTCACCATGGAGCGTAGGGAATTGCAGTCCGCCACCCTGTCAGCCTTCTCCTGAGCCGCAAGGCAAGAGAAACTTGAAAAATCCACCATGTTTAACATGTTTAAACGGCATCCCGCGTGTGGTAGTGTGTAGCAGTGTAAATCTTGTTTGCAGTTTGCGTCCTGCATGCCAACCAAGATTTGCTCTCAAAGAATGCTGGCTGTGCACATGATTTTGGTGGTCCATGGTGCGTCCTGTAAGGAGCTATCTTCGCATGCTCAGCAGCATAAAGTCGAGATGCTAATTGTATTTCTGCAGGTATACCTTACAATCCACCAAACCGCTCGGCCATTGAGGCAAAGAACAAAAAGTCCAACAAATATCCACATCCCGAAGACTTTGGTCAGTCCTGGTCCAGCGCCAGTTGGAAGCTTTCCTTGATGGCCTAGATCAGAAGAACAGTTATATAATAGACGAAGCTTCAATGCGTGCTGCAAGACAGTGTGAGGAGAAAGCATGGACTGAAAATAGTTGCAAGTGGCATAGTTACAGTAAAGTTCACAACAGCCGGGTGCAATTGCAACCCATACCGCTGGCATATTCTTTTGTAGGCAATCTGACAAATGCCAGTAGTCCCCACAATGAAGAGTGGACTAACTTGCATACGAGATGTTCTTTTGAAAGTCCTGACATGTTACAATGCCTGCTTACAATTATATATGTGCCCTAAATCCTAATCACATTACATTGAATCATTGTCTCGAACGCCCCTACTTCATGTGTGCACCCATACTACACTTTGCCAATATGTTTGATGTGGAATTACATGATGTGACTGCGACTATGTGGATTACAAATGCCTACGTTACCATGTACATCCGCGCTTAGTTCAAACATTTTATACAGTTCCTTCTGTATTCGTTGTTCGGGTGCTGTCCTCAAATCTCAGCAGCAAAAGCAAAACGGTTAGCATCCAAACAATACACTGCAACAGCGGGTCACTGGTTAAGATCAAGCTGGTGCCATCGGTTCATTGGTGTTGTCAAGTCTTCACTTGCTCAGCAGCACTCGGAAAAAGAGTGCCTCCTCTGAAGCTGTCCGATTTTGCGTCTCCTGCAGAGAAGACGTGTGTCTTGCCTTCTCTCGTGGGCGACTCAGCGAACTTGACATGCCCCGTGTTTGGGGCGAGACTTGGAAACAATGGAAAACCAAGAAAGCGTTCGATCGCTCCGTTCGTAGTAAGGTCAGGAACCCCGTTCGTAGCGAACATTGTTACTAGCTTGCACCCAGCACTTCATTTCACTTCATGTCCTCATAAAACAGGTCCTTGAGGACAGTTTCTCGGACTTCTCTGAGAAGTTCACTGAGGGTTTCCTGACGGAGACGTTCTATCAATTCGGACCCGAACTAAACATGAGGTTTGCTACCTACTACTACTGTCCTGTTTGGTCTCGCAGTTTACTTTTGTTATTCTCTTTGGGTCGTCCAGCTCCAATGGTTGTGAGTCGAAAAAGAGTGACTTCAACTTCACATACAATAAGCTTGTTTGAGGTTCTCGCTTTGGCCACACTTTGCTGCTTGTCAATTTTTGCCGCCTCACCCTCACGTCGCTCAGTCATTTCTTGACACAGGGTCTGCTTGAGGCCATCCAGGTCCTGCAAACATTTGGCGATGCGAGAGTCTTAATGCGTTGAGTCTTCCATCGAGTCTAGTTGGCAGAAAATGCAAGTTCAATCCACATTGCTTCTTCGCACCCTTTTTGTCGAGCGGCTTCACTTCACGTCCTTCATTTCATTTGGGCTGCATGAATGTGCCATTTGGGATGTTGAATTGCTCTCCTCCAGTGCCACCTTGAGGTCCTCTCTCAATCGTCGCAGTTGCAAGTCTTGAGCTTGTTGTTCCCGCAGCCTGCGGCACATGTGAAGAAGAAGAAGAAGAAAAGGAAGAAGAAGAAGAAGAAGCAGAAGAAGAAAAAGAAGACGGCAAAGAAGAACAAAATAAGGAAATAGAAATAAGAAAAGAAATCAAATTTATATAAAGTCTACACGTTCCTAAGGTCACTGAACCCTCACCCACACGAGCGGTTCTCCAAGTCTAGCATCCGTGTATCACGTCTTTCAGCTCCCCAACCATTAAGTATGTCAACTCATCTCAACTACACAAACCAAACGGATGCATGACTTCGACTTTTAAAGCAACAAAGCTCAATAAACCGCGATAAACCCTTCCAATCCAGAAACGAGTCATCTTCGCATTCAGCATGTCCTTTTCATGGAAAAAATTGTTGGCGTTGTCAATTTCTGGATGTTATCACTACCACTATTTGGAGATTCCGCTCAGTCCCATTCTCTCCCAGCTGTCAAGTGACCTCACACTCTGCTCTTCACTCAAAGCCTTGAGCTTCTGGGTCACCTGAAAGCAAAGACTGTGACAAAACAAAAAGTATCCTCACATCTTTCCCAACATCCTCAATGAAATTCATGAAGCTCCCGACCTCTGCATGAGCAGCTGCTCTTTCTTGAGCCTCCACATCCACATCAGCCCTGACCTGCCGACAGCTTCAGGGTGAGTCCAATCTGGAGCCAACAAGAATCCGTAGATTATGACGTGAGACTTGCCGGTGCAGATTCACGACTCAAAGGGAGGGCTGTGGACTGAACGTGAAGAAAAAGGAACAACCAACTTGGCAGGCAAAATCAGGCCCACTGGACTCTGATCTCTACAAATAAACACATCGCCCGTGCAAAAACCATCTCACTATTGCAAACCAGTGACTCTTGAGCTGATTCATACTCATTCCATTGAGCATACTTCAGTGTGTAGTGGTTGCTGGCAACAGTGGCTTATCCACCAAAACAATGACATCAGTGCTTGGTGATTTGGCATGATTTGGCCTTCTTCATCCGAAGCTCAAGGCTTTCAAACATGGCCAAGCGCAAGCCACGCTCCTGGCAAGGAGCGTCAGCGATGCGAAATAGTCCAGCGCATGTCCAAGCTTGAGAAATGCACAACACGACAGTTAGATACAATTGGTATTCTATATGATTCTATATGAAGATATATATATATATATAAAGAGTAGCTTATGATTATTTATGATTCATATGATGTTTTATGAACCACCAACTATTAGCCTTCAGCTTTTCTGAACAGAACACTTGAAGCGAGATGCGCTCTAGTGCACCTCACTGGGAGTTGGCCTTGTTTGCATACATTGCATAATTGTTCACCGCAAGCCCCGCTGCCTCATTGAGCTTGGCTTCCTGAAATCCCGAAACGTGGCTTCTCCGAACGTTGAAAAACTGTTTCTGGTAGAGAACTCACCACGCGAGTTGGCCGACACACATTTGTACACATGTGTGTGTGTGTAACATTATGTAAGTATGTATATAGCGTACATACATATATATATATATTAAATGTTAGCGTTTGTCGATCCGATGCTAAACTTGAGAATAGAGGATTGACCACATTCTCAGCGCTCTGAAGCGTATGTATGAAGCGAGTCTGTATTGTTAGGTATCAAATTCAATCTAGATTGCTGGACTAGTCTGCAAAATTGTCTATTTTGTGCCCATTCCCGTACACTGGGGTGCCGAAAGTTGCGCTAAACGGGACAAACCCTTTCCCCTTAGAATCCTACGTGCGACATGTCGACGCCTAAGTTGCGGTCAGATTTCCACACCTGAAAGCCTTATAAGTATTATAAATTTAAACGGGTGTGGAAATCTGACCGTGCTGTACCTGCCAGGCAAAATGGACGTGTCAATCCGATCCGCTGTAGACCGCAAGTGTCATGTTGGAACAGAGTAAGAAGCGTAAACTTTAGGGTTCTTGAAGTATATCATGTGTTTCCCAACAACATAATGAATGATTAATTGTACTATAACAAAAATTGAAAGGTGCTTGTCCATTCACCACAAAGCAAGGCTCTGGGGAACCCGGCGTTCTCTCTGAAGGCACGTTCACATTCCAACAGAGCTCTCCGTGACTCTGCTTTTAAGTCCTGTCGACCATTCAGTTGTAGTGTGTAGCCCTTAGACTGGGGGAAATTGAATGAGAATGTGAAAGCATGTGAAAGCCCTTAGCAGGAAATTTGACGACAGCTAGTATGATTCTAGCACTGTACAACCACGTTAGTAAAAAAAGGAAAAAAAAGCGTTCCATCGCAACAAACGAACGGAACTGACAAAACACCAATCCTCGGGCACCCAATGATCCGCCCAGCCGCCCCCGCCGGCCTTTAGCTGGGTTTGAACAATGGCTAGCTCTTTGGCCAGCGAGGAGGATTGGTCCCGGACCTCAGGACGGATGGCAACCGCCGAGACTGGGGCATTTGGGACTGAAAGTTTGCTCAAAATATGTCGGGTTCCTTAGCCCATTGCTCACTTCGCCTTAGAACTCACATGCCTGGTGAAAGAAACGGGAAGGAAAGAAACACAATACGTCAGCCCAGCATGAAAGCCACGTAGTGACACAGCCGTGGGTGAGTTTTGAAGGGCCCTCAACATCGGCTGTCAAGTCTTCTCTGGAAGATTGACCTTTTATATAAGTATCAGTATCACAAATTTCAAGGAAGGTGCACAAGTGGCACGTGCTTGCACAAAGGATGACGAACACGATCACAGGGTCTCTTTAGATTGATCCCGAAGCAGGGTTGGCTGAGACAAAGACCAACTTCCATTGGATATGAGCAAGTTCTGCCTGGCCGCTGGCTGTTCATGTAAAAAACAATGCAATTGCACTCTCTTTTCGAAACCGCTGGAGGAGGGAGCGAACCCTACGCTCCCTACGCAAACCTGAGTCCGAAACCTGAGCTGTTGTGAGCCGAAGAAAACTGACACTTTAGAGATGTGTTACTTCCTTGACCCTGGAAGACATGCAGGTCAACGACTCTTCCAGTGTCCGGAGACACCACAGAACTTCAGGGCTGTGGGCAGAACTTCAGGGTGTCAAGAGTTGGAAGGAATCATTGATAAGGCTTGGTAGAGCTTGAGAGTAACCCCACAGAGAAGTGACACCTTTTGTAACCCCCCCCCGGATCGCGACCCACATGTTCTCTGTTCACCTTCCCGAACGATCGCGACCAACGGAACTCCATGCTAAGCCGGCCCATGCAAATGCTGCAGGTGGCCGGGAACTATCAGAACCCTTTCAGCAACAGCTGTTGAGGACACAAACATCAGAAGCGTAAAGGCTGAGGGATTCTCTGTGGAGCTAGTTTCAATCTCCCAGACTTTCATGGACTCTCCCATGAATTCGCAAGCTCCTGCTTCTCATCTACAGACTGAAGTTGTCGCTGCCACCTTTGAAGCAAGCAAAGTTTGCGGTTTCCGGTGCTCGAGAAAGTGCCAGGCCAAATGTTGCTCCATGTGTTTGATGCACTGGGAAGAAGAGCCTCCAAAAGCACATGCTATTTACAGTACTCTTCCTTCCCAAAAGGATGGGAGTCATCAAGGCTGGATCTTCTCTCCCCTCTATCCATCTGAACGGCATGAGCTTTCTACCTCCAAGCAAAGAACCTACATACCGAATCTGGGCTCATTCAGTCTGGGCTTTGCTTGAAGCCCGGCGAATTGCATTAAAACCTCCAAGGTTCCATATCAACAGGTCGCAAGCTTCCACTTACCGCCATGGTGCCAAGCTGCTCCTCCTGACGGCGGTTCACCACTCCCAGCGTTGCTTGGATCGCCTGACAATCGCATGGAACGATGGGATTGCCACGCTGAATGATCATCAATCATTTGAGTACCTGAGTCGCTGTAATTGGTCTGTGTTCAACACGCAGACCAAGAGTTTGAAGCCCTACGCCCTAGGCTGGAGATGTATAGTATATTGGTTTTTCTGGCGCTCAGTCTGACTGTTCCAAGGTCCGAAAGATCACCTCTCTCCGTGCCTCCTTGTCTTCAAAGTCTTCCAAGGTGGCCAACCTCATGTCTTTTTCTGCCGATTTCGGCTTCTGACAACATGAGTTTCTCCTCGTGTTTCCAGGTATTCCATGGGTATTCCGATGTCGCCTCACCTCTAGCCATATGAAGTGACCGAGAGCGAGCAGAGTGACTGAAGTGCCGAAGTCCGACCGGACAAACGAAAATGCCAAAGCCTGATTTTAGGACGCTAGTAGAGGTGAGGTAGGTTAGCTAGCTAGGTAGCTAGGGCCTAGAGGGGAGCTTCCTTGAAGAAGCGCTCGCAGCTCGCACTATTCATTTCCTGGATTTTTTGGAACACTTAATGCGAATGGGTGGTACCCCGATAAGCCAGCCCTGGTTTCGCACTGTCTCACCTGGATACCAGTCACGCGGCTTAACTAAGACAAGTTCATTACTTACACGTCCAATGATTTGAATCCGAAGGAATGATTTTATGAAGTCATTCCCATGGGTGAACGTATATCGTGGAGTATCCGAGTGCTCTTCCCCCTCTCAGCTGCCTACGAGTTCATCGCTTGTGCCTGTGTAACCGGCTCGACCTGCATCGCTACGTAAAAAGATTGCGGCAGATGCCGTTTCATGTTTGCTTCTGTATGGTCTTTAGCAGACGCCCCATCCAATACACGTATATATCAAGTATCAGAAGCGTTTGGAACAATTGAGTGTAAAGACTCGACAAACCGTGTTCACTTTGGACCAAAGTTGACGTGACCAACACTCAAGCATCCGGCTGCTGTAGGCTGCACCACACCCAACAAAGTGCAAAAACACAAAGTGTCTGCACGTCTTGAGGACACATGAATCCAAACAGGACCGAGTGCGCGGCCGGCTGCTTTCTGGCTCGCGCGTCATCTTCTTCATACCCCTGGCTCACTTCAAAGAAATTTTGTGCTGTGTTTTGTGGTTGCCTGGCCCAGTACAGTCCCTACAGGACCAGGAGCAAAGCAAGTCTCAATTTCACACTCCCAAAAGCATCCGGTTGAGCACTGCACCGCTGCTGTGGTGGGTTCCCGTAGCATCTCGTTGGAGCTCCTCGGGCCAGCAAGATCGTTGTCCAGGATGGCAAGCAGTACAAATCACAAGAAGAAGCACTAGAAGAAGGAAAAAGGTTGACAAGGCTTCAAAAGTGGCTGACTGGATTAGTCAAACAATCTCATAAACGTTCCGTTCCCAACGCAAGATAAAACAATGATGCAGCTGTGCACCATTGGGTTTTAGTTCGTATCAACTGCCATTAAGAGACCGAACGTTCGTATCAACTGCCATTAAGAGACCGAACTAAAACCGACTCGTAGACCCCCTGAGCGATGGGCAGGCCGGTCTTCCGTGCCGATGTGCGCGGCTTGGCGGTGCCAAGCGGGGCTCGAATCGTGTCGGCCATCGCTTGGTTTCGAAGAGAAAACGGAACCAAGCAAGCTTCCAGTTGGAATGGAATGTATATTTAAGATTACTGCTTTTATTACATTACCAATATGTAATTACATATATAACTATTTTGATTATATATACCAAAAAAAACTGTTAAGGCGTCGTTGGAAAAGAAGCACCTGCTACAGTCATCATTGTGCCTTTTTTGAGCACCCTTCAAGCACAGCGTGGATTCAATCAAAACCAGCTGGAGCAATCTGACGGCCTCGTGGAAACGAATGACATTGAGTCAACTCATTAGGTTGATTGGTTGATGAAAGCAGATCCAGGCAGAGCCACCAAAGCTTCAGCATTCAACTTGTGTCGTTCAACGCAAGGCACGACCCGGCACAACTAATCACCTTTAGTATCCTTTAGTGCTAAAGCATGGTGCTATCATAAATATTCGGAAACAATGCTAGCACCTTTGATGCATGGAGACACAATGAGACCCATCCTTCTGTGAGGGGCCCGACAAACGCAAAGAATGCGAATGCGAAAACCATTACCAAGAGCTCGCTTCTTTTCAACAAGTGCTGTTCGTGAGTGGCCTCCCGGGTGGCCTGAGGTGCCGGAGGGCAGCACGTGCTATCTGCTGAACCTCTGGGCTGCTACCTTTACACCTCATTGACAGATCTGCAACGACACCAGTGACATCACCGAGTCTTCCCAGGGTGGCAACGGTGGATACGGCCCTTGCCCGGACAAACCGGTCATTGTCAGTGAGCAAATGCGCAGCTGGAAGCGCCACCAGCTTGAGGTCTCGCGAGCATTTGGACACCAAGTTCAGTGCTGCCATGGCCCGCGCGCATACATGCGGACACGGGTCCTTTAGCGAATGACTCAAAGTAGCCAGCAACATCATTGTCTGCTCTTCCTGACTCGAGGTGTCACTACACAAACAACGTCAACTCCTTACATATTACATATATATGCAGTATGTCTTTGCTCGCACATGCTCGATGCAGCTCAAAGGCATGCTCCACAGCCTCCAACTAAAAAGGAATCCACGTTATCCTCAATATCCCAGCATTTCATGAATGTCATCATGGCAAAAGGTTTCGTTTTAGGCAAACCTGCCTGGAGTGCAATCTGTACAAGTCACTTGATCTAGACCTACCGTGCACTGCTCCACTCATAGTCATAGAGTGATGGATGTGAGAGCAATGGAATGATGGATGTCCTTTGTCTAAGACATCGCTCGGCAAGTATACTGCAGTACGTTCTGTGACGACATGTTCTGTGACGACACGAGAGCGGTCACGACTCCTCTGTTTTCGTATGTAAGAACGACGACGTGCAGGAATGATGATCTCACTGTCTGAACGATGATGAACATGGATCATGAACGACTTTATTGATGTTGGATCTAATGAAAAAACATATGCAACACACATATCTCAAAAATGGATAAAGATATGGTCCTGCAAAGATGTGGTGCAAACGAATTGGCCCATCGCATCGACGGTCGCACATCGAACTTCTGAACTGGTCTCTCGGTGTAACGCATGGCAAAAGCTTCGAGAGATCTCCAGCTTCGAATGGGAACCGCTGCAGTGTCCCAAAAGCGAAAGGAAAGCCGCAGCCTGAGGCCACTCGCATTTGGCTTTCGGCAGGTCGCTTCGGTGGGTGCAAATTTGGGTCAATGCAGTTCAATGATTGAGAATGCTGGAAAAAAATCAGTTGCAATACATCGAAAAGCCATGCTCTTAGAGAGGGCATCGCATGAGGGATTTCTCAATGCCGAGCGGCAGCTTTCCTAACACGGAAGCAAGAATCCTCCAGCAATGACATGAACTCTTGCAGAAGTGACTCACAGGATGATACTGCTGCATCCAGGTCAGCTTGCTCGACGCAATTGGCCTGTCGTTCTGAAAGGATACACTTGCGCCGTGTGCCCTCTTCGATCTTGCATTGAGCACCCAGCCCATCCAGCCTTGCCTGATTGCTAGATCAGTGAAGCTGAACACCAGAGTGTTCTGCTCAAGACACTGAGCTGGTGAAAGACAAAAACTTTCTAGCACAATGGCAGGTTGCCAGCATCTCCATCAGGCATCTTTGCCTGTGCAAGCACTGATGACTAGGACATGTTCGACTCAAGCAGTCCGCACCGTCCGCAGGAAACAGCAGGCGGGCAAAGCTAGTGACGCGCCGTCACGAATTGCTGTGCCCCGGACCAAACATGGGATTTAAATATGTGAATGATTTTACAATCCAAACCAAATCCGATTTATATATAAGATATATATGTTTGTTTCAATGTTTTATATAACCACAAGCAGCAATTTTGAGCATTCCCATGTAAGGTGTTATTCCTTCCATATCTTCCATTTTGCGTTCCTCTTTCCTTTCCCCTTCTTTCTCGAAAATCACATCTTTGCCTGTTGTTGCCAGTGCAGTCCACCAAAGGTTTAGAATGCTTCTGTTTTTTCATTAAAGGGTTGTATATATATAGAACTCATGCGCTTCAATGGTTCTGGTTTAAAACATCCATCCAAGCGGCTTCTTTGGTTCTGGCCATGTGCCCCTCCGCAGATCCTCCTGGATCATCTTCTTGGCACCAGCCAGGCCATGTGCCCACTTGGCTCGCGTCAGCAGTGGAGCGGCCATGGGGCTCAGTCTGCAAGCATCGCGGCACATGCTGAGGAGATGCCGAAGTTCACCTGGCCGCTGGAAAACCTCCCGAAGGCACTCTCAAAGGGTATGATATGTTACTGTGGATACATGGATTTCTTATACCTTGATATATCTCAATAACTATCTTGATACATTCTGATACATTTGTGTATGCGTCCACTCTGAATTGCACTGGTATCAAGCTGAAGATCCCGACGCTTTAGGCGCTTGAATATAGTCAGCAAGAAAAACATGCGGATGATACTGATTGTATATAGAGATTTAGACATGCTCAAAGACTTGGCAAAACTGTGTCAACAAAAAAAGAAACACTTCCATGCATCTTCTTCTACAATGACACGAGATATCACTGGCCCGACGGACCTGTCAAGAAAATCAAAGCCATTCCCATTCCCAACAAGAAGCTCAAATGGCTTTTGTCGACATTTGCAAGACTGGACAGCCCAGATTGGACACGACTCTCTGCCAAGATGCTGGCGCTTAAACACGCGACTAGGAAGGCACCCGCAGTTTCGGGACGGCAGGCGAGATGCATCACGCAGGCCAAGGCATTTTAAAATCAAGCTGCCGGTCTTTGAGCGAACACAAGGATGTTCCAAAGACGTTGAATTCGCTATAGGAAACTCAACAATGAAGTATACTACAATAATCGGCTTCTTGCTAGGCGTTCTTGTCACCAAAATCTCTCAAAATTACAATGTCTTGTTGTTCATGTTCAACGGCTTTCTAGGACATCTCAGAAGGTGCACTGGAACTGGTTATTGGAATCAAGTTCAATGGAACTGGTTTTTCTATGAGTCGTCAGCCAAGTGATGGAGCCTGGCAATTAAACATAAACTGCAAACCTTGCCAGGTTGTTTAAACTGGAATTGAGAATAGTCGAACATCTCGTTTTAAAAATGCATAATGGATCATAGTATGGGATAATGGATGATAATGGACAATCTGTCTGTGCTGATACTTGAGAAGGAGTCTTTCTTTCAAGCAATCTTGAGGCTCTCATGAGCCATCATGGGCTATGATGCCACTCTTTGGGTGTTGAACATGGTCGTGGCTTCATTCTTCTCTAATTCTGTGGCACACATATAAAGCTAGTACAGGTAGTTTGAAGTTTAGCCCACTCTACTGAGTTGATTCATCCACCAGAAATACATGCTACAAGCTAGCTGAAAGCACACGCTCCTCTTTTGCACCCTACGTTCTGTAAGCTGATCACTTTGCAGCCATGTCCTCAGTGTCAGCAAAGCCCATGTTCATGGTTGGCGGTTCTTTCACGAAACTGCTTTCTTGGTTCATCACTTCAGCAAGACTGGGCCTGTGGATAGTAAGATTGAAATTTATTGAAATTTGCTATGCCCAGAGTCGGGCAATGAATTGATCAAGTATGCGATAGGGCATCTCCCATAGTATTTAAACTCTGAGGCTTGCACTCTATCAGCTTGACCACCGTGCGCCTCGGTTCCTGGGCAAGGTGCCACTTGGTGTACAATACAAAACCACACTTGTGAATCACATCCCGTGCATCCACTGTGCCGAATCCGTCATTATTGCTCTGCTGGAATCTAGGCCAATCTAGGCATGTTCGGGGCAACTTTCAAGCTCTACAATGGAGGCTGTGGAATGGGACTGGATCCCAACTCTCTTCAATAGGTGAAGATTCTAACATTAAGAGTTCACAACTCCAAATGGATCCAAATGGAAACATTCCGTAGAGTGCACACAAGTCCATGCAAGGCTTGAATATGATTGAACAAGGAAATCCCAGGTTGCCTGCTCGAAGATTCGAGATGAACTTTGCAAACCTGGCAAAATGGTACTTGAGCCGGCAGATGGATCAGAGTGAATGGAGGACTGGTTCACCAATGGCAACGCAGCACTCATATGTGGCTTTTGAAGACACACTTACCAAGACAACTGTTGTATAAACTTATATAGTCGCTGGTCATCTTGACCGATCTTGACCGAAGGGATGCCAACTATCCCAGGCAAGCTGGGAAAGCCTTTCTCATTGGGCATGCATCAGAAAACCATCCCCAGTGAAGCTCCGTCCCGTTTCTGCGCACTCGATGGCAGGTGGCTGCTCTTCAGCCTGCCACAGGTGCACAAGTTGCATTCGCTCTAAGACCCTACAGTCACTAGGCGAGTCATGTAGGCCACTCTGGTGGTACTGCCTACTCGTTCGGGCTGCTGTCAAGCGGCATGTTCGAAAACGCTAAATGATGGAGCCATTTTCGCAGTTAGAGAGTGTTGTGTCATCCTTTGTCTAGTCTACACCCTCACCGCCGCCTCGTCCACAAGCACAAGCACAAGATAGCACAAGTTTGCTTGCGAGCCCGGCCCAAGCTGGTCCACGTGCGATCCAACAATGCTATTCTTAGATGTGGCAGCTGATGTGGCAAGTATGGATCAAGGATGTGGCTGCGACCCAAATGGCATGGCCTCCCCAGACAGCAGCTTGGTCAGCAAGCAACCAGAGTCAACGTAGCAGCGAAGCCTGCATTGTGACTGTCATTCTGACTTGAACTGAAGGAGCCCAAGAAGACATTATAATGTCCAAACAGCGCGTCGACGACTCAGAGTTGGCCTAAGCCCAGTTTCGCCAAGTTGATATTGGCCAGGTCCGATGCGGCTGAACCTCAACATGGCTGCAGGTGTCAATGTGGAAGAACGTGAAGAAACGGGAAGGCCAAACAGCTGCTATCAAATCCTCGTGACTAACAAAACATCTGTAGTTACAAAAACAAAAACAGCTGGACGAAAAACAATGAGTATGGACACCAACAAACGAGTACCATGACACAGTCAATACATCTCGCCGATCTTGCTCCAGCACTTGCCTGGGTTCTTACATGCCGCTGTCCTCTGCCTTCAATTCTATAAATATAAGAAACTTCTGTGATCGACAGAATGGATATAACTTGCGGTGCGAAAAGAAGAGATTCGAAGTAACATGTGGTACATGCTCCAGCAAGGGGAAGACCTGATGCTAGAACTGTTTCATCAATAATATTGTTTAAAAGAAAGCACCAACTCCGCAGCATGAAACCATATGAAACCTAACCGAAAAAGAAAAAGCAGTAGCCGCACGCAGTTTTCACCTCGGGAGACATGTTCCACCTACACCGGCCGGTCACAGCATGATCCGTAGTGCAGTTGTCTCAGCATCCTCGCTCTGCAGCATCACGGAAACCAGACCTGGACCCAGCGATTTCGCTGTTCAATATGGGGCAGGTGACAGTCTGTGACAGCAGGCAGGATGTGATAGGTGGAAAAGGACATGTCTTTGGAGTTTCTTGGTGCCAGATGTCAAGATTGGATTAATTTTTGGGAGTTCATATATAGATCTATACGATAGTCAGATCACCTATATATGTCCATTCGTCATTGTGGCTATGAGCTGTAGGGAGGTATTGAGAGTGTGGCTAGCTTCGGTCAAACAGTACGACTGGGTCTTGTACCATGCAGCCATCAAACTCACAACGTTTCTGCAAGAACAAACCAAAAAATATCAAATGTAAACAAATGTCTGGCCTCAGCAACTCAGCAGCAAGCAAACAATCGACGGGATCACTCTTCAGTGGCCTGGGCATTAAGATTCACCGTGGATATGTACGTATACATACATAAATATATATATATATGTCGAGGTATAAAGACTGGTGCGAGAACTTCCCATCTGTTCGTTCGGCCTAGACTCCCAACACATGTAGAGCAAGAATTGAACAGTCCAATGCTTTTGCAACAGTCGGAAGCGCGATCAGTGAACAGCCGACCCAAAAGCGTCAGGGGCCACATCCAGATTGATAGGGTACCACACTGGGTAGTTTGACTGAAGAAGAATGCTCTGGCACAGCAATACTGAGTAGTTTGACTGGTAGTTTGACTTGATTGGACAGCAAACAAGTTCTTGTGTCCTTGCACACAACAGCGACTGTTGCGCACAATCGTTGTATAGAGGACAGGAAAGAGGCCCTTCGATTAGACCTCCACCAGATTGCCACCCCCAACTCAACACAAGATAAAACAAGCATCATAGGGGATGTTTTGCACAACCCTGAACAACAGCGATTAGGCGGCAAACTTGTAGAATGAGTTTGGCAAGGTTCTCTGCGGCCATAGCTCCTGGAATTCGTGTGGGCTTTGCAAGACTCACCTCAAAGTACGCTCCCTATTGCGACTGACAGCTTTGCACCGATAGGGTCTAGAAAAGCGATAAAACGAAAAAGAATGTCAGGCCCCTTTGAAGAAGGAACTTACCTTCCATTCTTCATCTCTTTCTCAAGACCCTGGTCACGACACTCCTTCGCCTATTCAGACCAACAGTTCTGAACCATTGCTTGCGTCAAGAAGTCTACCTTCTGCGTCAATCCTTCGCTCGGAGAGCATCCGCGAGCTTTGAAAGGACCTCAAGAAAGCGAGGAAGGAAGTGAATGAAACCCTGTTCCCATCGGTTCCCTATGTTGCTTTGAAAATTGAAATATCAGTTATACTCGAGGCTTTAAATATCCTGCCTTCGTCTATGACAGCACCAAACAAGCACAGAGTTAAAGCGCCGAAAGGGCAACACGCCTGTGCAGCCCCTGGTACTTTCAATAACATAGAAGCGTGCATTTCCATAATACAAGTACATAAGAATAGTGGCCCTAGAATATGTCATGAACAAATAAATCTCTTGTCTATTGTCTACCGAACAGGTTTCCCGAAATCATCTGGCACCTCCAACCGATTCCATGACCATGCCACGCTTGGTTGTGGTGTTGCGTCGATCGAGCCCTTCAGCCCACCCGGCCTGATCGAGGGTCTCATCGACCTCACCTCAGAGATGCACGTTCATACGAAGAACGTGGCTGTGTCCGAAAGGGTTTTTTCTCCAACTGAATAGAAGAATCGGTTGTCTCTTTGACCTACTAGCGATGGCCTCCAACCTACTAGCAATGGCCTCCAAGCCTCCAATGGTCTCTATAACACTAATTGGTCACTATATTCCCTGGCTTGGAAGAAATTATATAGGTCTTGCACGGTCAGCTACAGTAGACACTGGTCATCGCCACTTAGGCTACTGCCTGTTTGCAACCCGTGCTTTGCAAGCAGGTGATTCACCTGGTTGCTAGGTTCTTCTGAACACTGGCAGCAGTTAGCACCAGGATATTGGCCCGGAAACGTCTGGGATCGAAAGATTCCCCAAAATCATGCTGATCCAAGCAAGCACTTTGGAAAGTGAAAACCTCCTGCAAGGTTCAACTACTCTCACCCTTGAAACCTGCTCTGCTGATGCCATGCTTAGTGGTAGTCTCCAGCCTGAACCACAAAGTTCTTGTCGACGTCCTGCACACCCCCAACGCCACAAAACCAATTGATACCAATTATATAGCATGATACCCGAATCTGATTAGCCCCTTTCATACAAAGAGGTGAAATGAAGTGCTCACCTTCCCTATGATTGGAGCTCATCTTACTGACTTCTGAATCCTTTCCAGCAAACCGTTGCCCACGTGGCCTGAGACAGGCGTAGTTTCAGCTCACCTGGATGTTGACTTGTCTAAGCCCTAAAAATATTGTCTTTAGACATCCTTCGTCATTTTGCTGGAACCATGGGCAAATTCATGGGCAAATGCTGAATGTATTAGATGAAGTAGTTCGTTCGTTTAAGCTTCGTTCGTTTAAGCTCGTGCATTCTTCGAGTTGTCTTCACTGCAGATGGGTGACCTTGCAAAGCCTCATTCTGCTTCTCCAGGTTTTGGGTTCGGAGACGAAGTGCCTGAAAGGGGGCGGAGCAGAAGTGCATTCCACATCTCAGAATGCAGTACCCTCATCCACATCAGTGTGGGGGGGGGGGAGTCTGGGCAGTTTGTTCATAGATCAGCCTTCGGCTGAGAGGGTCAGTGAAACAAAGGGTACTGAGATACTTGACAATCATATATGAGTATATATATATATATATTCTTGAATTTGGTTCAGCTTCCCATCTAACTGGAGATGTTCGCATGTCCCCCGGCTGGGTATGGGTCACTCGGTCAGCTGCGTGTCCTTAAAGACCTCAATATGCAAGCACTCTAAGCTCATGACGGTCCAGTCAACCCTGCTCAGGATGCTCATGAATTCCATGACGTCTATCCCACTTTGGGGAGCAGACCATCTTGTGATCGCAAGGAGTGGGGTTTGCCGGGGCAAGCTCAAATATCCTTTTCTCATTGCTGCTTCATGATATTCATGGGAAAGATGAGCTACCACCCCAGAAACGGGCAGTTCTTCAACAATGGCTCAAAACACGGCTTCGATTGGCTTATCTCGTAGTTTGTACGTTTTCGTGTAATTCTGGCAGCTCATCCTCACCACAAATCGTTCACAGCTCTCCAGTCGCATGCTTTGATGCGACTTCAAGCTAGGAGACAGCCTAGCACACAGCTTCGGACTTCACTGATTGCCGGAGTAGTCTGCACCATGACTGAGAATCATCATTGTGGCAACCTCGCACGCTTTGAAGCAAGCGTTATGAAAAGGCTTGACGCAGTCTGTGAAACCGATTTAGCGCACCCGCGCCCTGAAATCAGTATTATCGCGCCTTTAAGGGGCTTCAAGGGTGTCCCAAAACAGCCAACGACGAACCTGCTGCACAAAGACTCTTGTGGATCTTGAATCTTGAAGATCTTGATTGGGCTTTAGAAGTTTAGAGCTGGCATGGCTGGCCTCGGCGTCAAGCCATCTCACTGACGTTGGAGTCACGGGCTGCCTGATCTCCGGAGCTGAATGCATGTCTGCTTCTTGCTTTTTATGTTCCTTCTTTAGACCTTGAGGCCTTCAGACCTTGTGTTTCTTTCATCATTGCATGCAAGGACAAACATGTTTAAGTATGTTTACAGTAATTTATAGTCCAGGGTGTGCCCCAAAGCCATTGAACGAAGGAAGAGTAGACCACACGGGTAGGTCATTGGGTCTTGTGTTTTTGAGGCACACTGACATCTTGATACCATTCGTTTTCGTTTCAAACTTGGACCTGGAGTGTGGAGAAAGTGAAGAAAAATCTTTGGGGCACTGGCAAATCCGCTGTCTGCCTGCATCTTGCGAAACTTGTTGGACGCTGGAGTCCACGAGGAAAAGGCCAACACTTCCTGGAATCAGGAAGCAATCAAGTGGCTTCCGACGTTGGATGCATTCTGATGGCCTTACTTACACAAGGCCAAGTCCTGACAAAATGTTTAAAACATGTGCACCATGTTTGCGCCTTTCGATTGAACATCACAGGGTTTCATCCGTGAAATGACAAGTACATGAATGAATAGAAGGAAACAACATGACCCCGGCCTCCGCCATCAAAGCTCCCTCGATGGACAGCAAGGCGTCAGCCATGACATGCACACTGCCCCTGGCGATCTGTCTAACATGCCCCACCACTCGACCTTGTACACCTGTGTTTGGATGGGAAACCAGTCAACACTCCTATTGCAACAATTCAAACAGATCACCTCGCTGTGGCATCAATTGATCTATATAAAGTCTCTTAAAATCGTGCTTGACACACGGCCGGAAAGCTATGGCGTTGAGATGTTTGGACCCAGTTGCTTCCGCCTCATTGCGGAAGCAGCTGCTGCAGCGGTCAAGTCCGATGCCTCACTTGGAGGCTTTGCAAGCGCCAGCGGTGGTGCCTGGTGCGGTGATCCCTTCGGCTGCCGGATTTCAACAGGTCTGACGTTCGCTGCGCGAGCAGGTTTGCACGTTCGCTGCGCGGGCAGGCAAAACATGTTGTATGGCTTGCTGACATGAACGGCTGCGCGGTTGAAACACAGCGGACTAGACGCGGAGCAAGAGGGACTGGATATCTGCAGATTCTGAACTCTATAAGGTGGCTGCTGTACGTTGTAATGAATCGGCCGCCACAAGGTTTGGACATTTTAGACCAAAACACAGAATGCATCTCAACTTCTTGCCTCTGTCAGAGTCCACTGCTCTTTGGGGAGGTGCTGGTGCAAAGCTTGCAAACACACCTCGCTGCAATGGTGCCTTGGTCTCAATGGACAACTGGATTGGGACTGCAAGTGGCAAGAAACATAGCAAGGAAGGACAATAACAAAAGGAACGAGTTTTATGTGCACGGGGCAGGATCATCAATGCAACCCACAACAAAACTGGCTTTTGCATGCGCCTCTTATACTATTATATATATGCTGCAGGTCCTGTTGCTGGTGCAAGTGCAAGCTCAGTGGGCCCCGACATGTTCTGCAGCATTGCCCAGATGCAGGCGCAGCTACAATATGCTATACTCACACTGAGTGTCCTATGCTTTCTTGACTGGCCTCCACTAGAGTCACTAGACTGGTGAATCAGCGGTACATGGGCTGGTGTGGCCTCCTCTCAGATGAATTCTTATGATCAACATTGACACTGAACCAGCAGGAAAAGGAGTGAATACCCGAGTTGAATATTCTGAACTCCTGGGTTAATTCTTTATCTTTTGGTACCTATCAGCTACCCCCTGAGAAGTATTAACTCCCAAGTTAATTCTTTGTACCATCCCTATTGTAGAAGAATCAACTCAGGATTTAATTCTTTTTATGTGCCCCCTACCCAATGTGGTACTTTATTGCTATTTGGGTCCCTTCAAAAAGAATTAAATCCTGAGTTGATTCTTTTGTGGGCACCATGGTGGAATAGATTTTGTGTACAGGTTGGTTTGGAAAAGAATTAAATCCCAAGTTAATTCTTTGGAGTTGCCCGTGGTCATTCATGGGTTTCTGCAGTCAACTTTCCGTTGCTGCTGGCTAGTGATTGGTTCAAAATGGCTGTTGTGGCTGCTGGAGCCCGCAAAGTGGGCGCTCAGCTGCCGCCATGGCAATCAATCCTCCAACCAATCCTCCAACTATCTTCTAATTTCTCTCTTTCTCATACAAACCATCTAGAGCTAGAGTTTCTTCCAAGTTAGTAGGAAGATAGACAAGGATAGAAAGACAGACAGGCAGAGAGAGAGAGGGAGAGAGGGAAAAGAATTAAATCAGAAGAGAATTCTTGGTTTGGGCTGCTGGCACAGCTGGCAGAATCAACTCCCAAGTTGATCCTTTGAGGCTGGCGCATTGAATGGGGGCTGTTGCTGAAGAATTAACTTTCGAGTTAATCTTATTCAACTCGTGTATTCAGTCTCTTCCGAACCAGCAGTGACACTTTGGAGCCAAAGCCACATGAAAAAAAAATCACCAGCCACATGAGGGGCAAACAAAAGCAACAAGAACACCTGCCCGACAAGGGTCAGAACTTGAAACGGAGACATCGACTCCGACAGGAAACCAAAGAAAAGGTCCAGGCGGCACTCGGCCACCTGTCTGGGGTGGTTGGGCATAAAAAATGAAACTCCATGCTTTTGCTACGCATTTCGGCATTATAGTCAAAAATGCAGGGAAGGAGGCACACACAACTGCAGGACAACAGCCAAGCCCGGTCCTAGACCTGGAGCAACCAAATTACATCAAAAGACCAAGACTCAGCCAGAATCAACAACCGGACAAAAGCCTCAAAGTCTGTGGGTCGTTGTGTATGCATTGCCCAGCAGGGATTGGCATGTGTACTGTACATGTGTGGGCAGGGTATATATTTTTGGCTTGCACCCGAAGGAAGTTCCAGACATGAACACACATGGAAGCTATAATATATATATATATATATGAGTGTGTACATCTCATGTCAGCGACATGTGGTGGCGATCACTCTAGTCTAGTCCCTTTGCAAGTACAACAGGCTGTCTATTGCACACAGGTGTGCGCGACTAGTTGATGGAAACAGTGAAAAGATGTGTTTGGCAATTGGACATGTATGGGTGTGTGCACGGCTTGCAACATGAACACTCCAAATGGGAAGAAAATCTGAGAACAAGTTTCTGAACCGTCGGAAGCTGACAGGTAGGTTCCATAGGCTTCCCCAGCAACTATACAAATATCCTGTACTCGTTACGCCCAAACAGCTCCTTCCGAGCCCAGCACAATCGCGGTGGCAGCTCAGGAGGCACCAGCGCTTTCAGCATCAGCGCGCTGGGTCCAGGGCCCCCGAAACGCTCAGAGCTCCATGCAATGGTGCCTCGATGGTGTCGGTGCAAGGTGTGGAGATGCACAAAGTAAGTCCATTCCCTAAAGAAAAACGTGAGTGAAAACAAGATGAAGCCCGCGAACCCGAATGCACGCACAAACAGTCAAACCTGGTTTGACACTCTTACTGCACTTACTTGACACTCGTCAAAAATGCCCTTGACGGACATTCTGGGTGGCAAAACCAGCATTTCGTACAAGACTTCCTCCAAAAGTGAAGTGGGAAGTCTCATCAGAGCAAGCAGCTCACTCGTTTTGCAATTCAAGCCCCTCAACGAGTCAATGGCACAATGACACACCCGCCACGCACACTGCATCCCAGCACCTCCCACACGCACAAAGCATTGCACCCGCCGCAAAAAATGACTATGCCACACCTTGACATGTCTAGCATTAAATTTGCACCACACTACACTGCTACACGTTTGGACATGTTACGTTTCGGCAATCTTTCACTCGAATCTGGAACTTCATGCTGCCATCCAAGGCTTATCGATCACATTAAATTGGTTGCGAACGGTTGCAAACATGAAAGCACCCTTACGCGAACACGCTTCCTCCCCCAGGCCCCAGAGTTCACGGAGAACCCTGTGTCAAGCATTCGGGAAGAGTATGTGTAATGCTGCACTCATACTTGATCACAAGGGATTGTAGTGACCTGATTGGTTTATTTTTGGTCGATCACGTTTCTGCTGATCCAGTCAGGGCCCTATACCGTACCTGGTTGCCACAGCTGCGTGAGTTGACCAAGGTCAAACCCGAGAGTTCTTTTTCGTTTGGTGGTCAAATCCAGTGTATACAGTAACGGTCAATAAGGACTATCGGCATGTTGATCCTTTACTAGTCCTTGAAGATCTTGAAACTGGATGCCAAAAGAGCATAAAATAGTCACTATTGATGGTGGCTGGACAGTCAGTGCTATTGCTATCCCCTATTTCCTACGTTTCACCTTGCACCTCTTGGCGGAGAGTTCCATCCCTGAAGGCCCGGCACCTTCTTGCAACCAATCAATCCCAAGGCACGTGTGGCAAGCAAGATCACGTCACACCTGCATCTGCGTATTGACTTGCTTGAAAATTGACTGAGTGATGCATTGCTTGCACGGCTTGAATAAACCTCAAGACCAAGACACTGATCCAGGATTCGGCTGACCATGGCATGGCGCCAAGGAATGTCCCAAAAGCGAATGCAGTGCAGTGATTCCAGGCTCCAAAAACCTTAGCGACCAAAGGACTAGCAACTGTTTGTGGCTTTGGCGCCTTCAGACTCTTGTTTGATGGCATTTGTTGTTGTCGTGCGCTGGGAAGATGTCTCTCAAACGCCGTTGTTAACTGTTAACTGTCAAACAACAAAGGATATGAATGTGTAAAGCACAGCCCTGAGCCTCATTTATTGATTTTTGCAATGCTCAGACCAAAGTTCTTGCATGTTTTGTGGCTTTGCCAGCGAACCAACAAGTCCTCTGAATAACTCCAGGCTGTTGTCCTCAACAAATGACACTTGGCGACGTAGTGACAAAGAGAAACCACTTTGCAAAAGTCTGGGCAAACTTCAGTTATATGAGCCAATCAAACATATTGTGCGGTCTTACGAGCTTGTGGTCGGCTGTGAAAATGCCGGCTGCCTGAAGGCCAGAACAACTTTGCATGATGTGTTGTGAGGGCACATGCAGACATTGTCCACTACAACCTCGCTAGTGTGGGCTTGCTAACGAGCAGGAAACAATGCAAAACACCGCGACGTTGAGAAGTAAGTAACTGTTTTATGTTGTCCATCCTTTACATCCGGGAAGTGCCCCTGCTGGGGCCATACATTTGACGGGCCCGACAAGCCCCCACTGGGCCCCAACGGGCAACGGGCCAACGGGCCCACCACGGGTTTTGCAAGAAAAGAAGCTTGCATCGGGTGAACAAAGCAGGTCCGGTCAAAGCAAAGTTGAGCTTCAACGCTGCGAGGACAATGCTGCGCATCCAGCTGCATCCAAATAAGAGGAGGGCATGGGGAGCTGCAAAAACATCAAGGGGGAAGCCTGAGGTCTTGTGCTGAGATGGCGGCCATGGAGTTTGACGGCGTAAACTCCGCATGTAACTTCGCAAGATGCGCGTGCAGCCCTACAAAAAGGCGGCTTGGTTCTCAGATCCAGCAACCAGCTGTTGCACAACTTTGTCATGCGATTCAACAGAACCAGAGTGGCAAAATCTGCGCCGAAGATCAGGCCAACAGCAAGCCAGCTGGAGAATGCAGCCCTGACACTTTGGAGGGCGATTGCCCTTCCCACATCAACTTTTGACGCTGGCAGGGTTTGCGTTGTGTCCTGGTATGTTGCGGCGGGCGGCTGCTGCAAAGGGAAAAGCTGTGAGGCTGGCCGTGTGTGGGAAAAACATCAAGGGCCTTCTACGCAGGCATTGGTGAACACAGAGTCGGAGGACAATTGATGCAAGTTTTGGAGGCGCAGAGGAGCATTGCGGCCTGGACCTCCGCACGCAGGTCTGGCAAGTTGATTAGTTGGTAAACTGCTATGCATCTGCTAACCCAGGCTTCGAACCTAACACCCCAGATATGGACAGGCATGGTGGGGTGGGGGTGTGGGGTGGCAGCCAGCACGCAATTTTTCATCTTTGGGCTGGGGCAAGTTCATCCCATGTTGCAGACACAAGGTTGAGAGTTGCTACAGCTACTCTGGACTGACTTGTACAATCTGCGAAATTGACCTTGAGGAACCTCCTGGAGGAAACTTTGAATAGTCACGCGCAACTCAACCCAACCCTCGCGCCAGCTACCAACAAAGGTTCAAGCTTGAAGAAAGGCCCAAGTTTGGAAAAGACACGGCTGATTTTAGTTTGTCTATTTTTTCGCGGCAGCAGAGCCAAGGCGCTTGACAAACGTGCACAAACGAGTCTCCTCCCTTCGTGCACGCACTCGCAGATGAGGGCATAATCATTGCGACGTTGGGACTACCTATACCTTAAACACTTTCATATGGGTCTCACGAGTGACGGGCCGTCAACGGGCCTAACGGGCCGACGGGCTCTCGACGGGCCTTCCACGGGACTAGCATTGCTGACAAGTCGTCTGCTCAAGCTTTCATGCTGATAGCCAATAGGGACACTGTGCTCTTCTGATCATCACCACGCAACGGGCTTCCATGATGCTCTTCGCCAATGACAGTTGTAGGTCCTACATTGCGAACAAAGGAAGTCAAAGCCAGCAGTCAAACGCTTGTTGCTACTAATAGTAAGGCACCTTGCTACTAGAGTCCTGGCTACTAGTAGCGATGCACCTTGTTACTAGTAGCATCCCCACGCCAATTTCATGATCTTGCAGGAAATGACCAGTCAGCAAGAATTCAGCAAGCTCCTGCATTTGCTCCTGCTGCTGGGAAACCCTGGTAAGCAACTCAGTCGCCTGCGCAGAAAGGGATGTTCTGGGCCATCCGTTCAATCAATACACCTACTTGATTGAAAATAAGAATGCAAAGTGCCCCCGTTCTGCTAACAGGCTCGAAGACCGGGGGCCGCCGTAAGTCTGGCTTGACATGACTACCACAGACCATCAGACACAGCAAGCATCATATGCATCATACACAGTCCGCACATGCATTCTGAGATCAACCCAGTGTCCAATGGGCGATGCTCGGTGGAAAAAATGGTCTGCGGCTGCTAATGACCCTCTGCCAGTTTGCCATTTCAACCCCGGTGACTCTGTGACTCTTCCAGACCATAACTCCGCCTGGCCACGCATCAAGTAGCCATCACTGTCCTGATTTCCAATGGGGGGTCTCCGTTGGATGTTTTTTGATAGAGCGAAAGTCTGCCATGTTGCATAGGCAGGCAGCACATGCTTTGTGAAAGTCTTTGTTCACCAAATCTTAGTTTGACATTTAGTGGCTCTGTCTAGTGCTGCTATCACAATCAAATGCTATTGAATACTATTATATAAATATCCTATCTTTTCGGTTGACTTTGTGGCATGTTGTTTGGTGTGAGGTCTGGTCAGGTCTGGCCTGCATGGAACCTGTCAGCTTGGCGGCCGTCTGCAAGCAGTCAGCTGTAGCATAGGCCGCCTTCCTCTTGGCCGAGACTTCCCTGCACAAAGCACCTGGGAAGTCTCGGCTGCACGAGATATGTTGCAACCAATCTAGTAGCAATGGATATAAAAGAGCTGAAGGTTATAGAACTTTTATGCCAAATTCAGTAGTGTAGTTGATTATAGTCATAGTATACTCAAAAAGAAGGCGGTAGCAGCGCACCAGCTGCAACGCTAAAAACTGTTGCAGCGACAACACCGTGAGGAGCATCCTGCTGACTAGGGACACATGAAGAGCTCTGAGCAAAAGACCATGCCACAACCTTAGGATTTGTCTCATCCTACATTCTGCTATTGAGTTCGGGTATGTGATGCTCAAACTGTTGGGTGCAATCTTTCAAACGTTTGCCCCGGCCCTCATCAGCCCAAGTCATTCCACATGACTACTGAGAAGTCACTGTCCCTGCTGTTAACACAGGAATTCAATGAGCACCTTCTAGCCTACTTGGATCATTTAATCCTGTTGGTTCGAGAATATCAAGTGAACTCCTGCGAAGGGGCCAACAGACAAATCCACCAATGAGTCCCAGGAGTGTTGCTTCCAAACATAGCTCCTCACAACACATGAAAGCGCATGTTTGTTTGAAAGAGTGTGAAAGCGCAGACTTTCTCAAGTCTGTTGGATCAAAAGAAAAACACTTGGGAAGGCAAGGTGTCGTAGCACGAGGACACACATACACACAAACACACACGCATGCAACGCCTCAAATTTGACCGAGACTAAGAAACTCTTCCTTCCATTGGAGCCTTTATTGATCTAACTGGCCCTCCGATTTTTGACTTGAATAATCATAATCGGATTATAAAGTGTTGGCTTATCATGGTTCAAGTGTATCTATTTGAATGCAAGTAATGGTATAAGTACGGCCTTGCATTATCTGCATCACAAAAGTATCACATCTCATATCATGTAGTACATCTGCAGAAGTGGCTCTGCTGATGACAAAGCTTTATTGCTCAGCCCATCAAAATGGAAACTACTACTCTGACTGACCCACCCTCTCGAGCTGACAAAGGCATCTGTGTTGCGTTGTTGTGACCTGTAGCGACGTTCACTGATTCACAGGTCCATGATGAGCACACTTGCTTGGCAGTTTGAGTGGGGTGTTTGCTCAGCTGTAGTGGCCTATGGATGGTGCGGTCCTTCATGCAACTTCAAGAGTCAATGCAGTTGTGCAATGGATGCCGAGCACCAATGACACGATATATCATGAAAAACCTGACACTTGATAAGAGCACTTTGTTGGAGCAGTGATTTGAAACCCAATAGAGATTTTGCTTGCCATGTGACAGAATCAAACAGCGCTCGATAAATCAAATCACAATTATGATCACAGAAGTTTCGCAGAAATTCTTTGAACTCCAGAGGCCTGGAGGTCTTTCGGCGAGAGTTTACTGCAACACGTCTCTTCGTCTCTTCTGATGCTTTACACTTGACATCTTTTTGGACGATGCCCTGAAAAGACCACAGTTTTGAGGAAAGACCGGAAAGGTGTGAAGAAGGCAAGGACAAGCTCAGCCAGTACAAGTGCTCCTGAAATCCTCCGCCAAACCAAAATCTCGTAGCATCTCCACGCCCCCAAAGCACGACCAGAACAAGGCCTCGGGGTCACGGCACTGGGGTTAGGGTGGCAATGTAGCAACGTATGCCGAAACTTGGCACCTCACTCTAACATACTCTAACACATTTGCAGAATAATACCAGAGCCTCATGTCGTTGTTTTCGTGCCGAGGCTGCCGTTCAAGAACAACACGGCGCTTTGCCACGGCAAAGCCCTTCTTGGAGTCTTAAGGACCCACGCCATCGCTTGTTCGTTTGGCCAAGTCACCGCAACACGCCACTGGAATGCTTGAACTTGTGCAAAATATGTGGCCTCAGAGTGCCGGAAGCATCCAGGTACAGGTATCTAACGAGGTCAAAGGAAAAAGAGGATCATGCAGGTTATCCAAGGGTCATCTGTTTCGGGTAAGCTTTTGAAGGAGAGAGCGCTTTCATGCGCATGTGTCACAGAGTAAGCCAGACTCACTCAGTTGCAAATGTTTGCAGATGGATTCTGATTGGATCTTATCCCACTAAGCACCAAAAGTGAAACTGGCATCTTGTCGACAAGTCACAATAGTCCAGAGGAGGTACATGAGAGTGAAGCACACGAACCTCATCAAGAAGTTGCTGCTGGGGCATCATGTGTTTATCATTCTGCCTCCTTTGGTGAACGTGTTCCTCCAGTCTTGAGAGCTTCAGCCAGGAAACAGCTCGTGCAGACCTGGATGCTGAGTCGTTCGGAAAGTGGGACTGAACTTCATGACAAACACCGGCAGCCCACCGAGGATCACACCTTCTGCCCAGAAACGGAGGTGTTGTGAATGCTATGTGAGCGCTATGTTGCCCAAAACGACGCATAAGAGGACTACCCTTGCCAAACACAGTACAGCAAGTGACAATATGCAATACTGTCAATCACAACAAAAGTCACAGTATCTTCATCGAACATATCATAGTGTTTCTTGTGCGCATGTTGTGAAAGGTGGAACGTGCGCATCTGCACGTAGGTCTCGTTCTGAAGCTTCCAGAGTTCCATGTTGCCTCCAGTAGTTCCAATGAGCTCATTCATAGTGCCCCGAAGGGTGACCTGCATGTCTGCACTGTCTCCAAAGAGGCACCTTTTCCATCGTTAAGAAATGACTAGAGACAACTGCGGGCGACTGGAAAATGACTAAACACCATCACTGCTTAGAAAAAGCACAGTCACTGCGTGCCCTTGTTCCTATCTGAGTACGGTCTGCTCACAGAGGGGTTGCACAACCATTTTACCATTGCTGGTCTACAATCACAAGAAAACATACCTTCGTTCTACCACTTCCACATTCCAGTGACGGGTTTAGATGGCTAACCCCAAGGATCACCACAAACACGCATAGACCAAGTTTCTCCTCATTGCATCTCAACTGCTGCAGTCACAAGCGCTACAGTATATTGTACAAAGGTTTTCCAAGGAGTTTTGAATGCATTGCAACCCTGCAAAAAAGTTTAATATCTGCTTGCTTCTGTGAAATGCATGCAGCACTATCCAAGTCCGGCCAGCGCGCAGTAATTAGTCAACATCACCAACAGAATCGTGGCCCTCCCCTTCCCCTCCCCCTCCAGGGTCAAGCGAATCATGTCACGGATATAGCACAGGCATCAGTTTGTATCAAGTTTGTGCACTTCTACGGCTGTATGCATTAAAGACAAGTGTAGCGAACACATCAATCAACATATATATATATTATACTATAATATGTTTCGTAGTTTGCTGAAATGGGTAAATGCATGACATGGTGTATTGCATTTGATCAGGAGAAGAAGCCGTTGTTTGGCAGCCCAAATCTTTTGCACCAGCGAGTAATTCCTGCACAAAAACGATGCAATATTGATGTGCATGACACTATATAGATAGTGTTGTGTCCACGCATAATGTTGCTTGATGATCTCAGCTGTGCAGCTGCACAAATCAATCTATTTATTTACAAAGGCACGCCAAGAAAGCACCGGAAGAGGCAAGAATGAGCGCACTACATATTTGTTGTGCAGCATAGTGTTAATCTTCCAATAGAGCCAAGGAGCCCAGTTGAAAGGCAGCAACCAGGCCACCAAGATGGCGCACGTCGCAGATCCATTTCGGTAACTGCAATGAAAACACACTGGACAACTTTGCAAGCACAGAAAGGGTGCATCGAATGTAATTTGTTGCATGTTTGCTCTTTCAAGCCTCTTGGCAAAACTTAGCCTCTTCAAAAACACATTCGTCGTGCCTTGTTTTTGTAAACTGCCGGGTACCTGTGAGGTCTAGCTATCAGTACATAAAGTTTCCATTGCTGTTGCATGCTTTTCCATCTGTTCCACAGCATTGTGGTGTGTGGAACCAAGTACCCCCCTGCCGGGCCTGCCTTATGCACCACACCAAAGAGGCTACCCATGCCTGTCGATGCTTTTTGCTTGTTTGCGGGTGCACAATCAAAAAAAAGACATGCATGCCAGATTGTACATGCCAATGCAATTTGCTTTGAAAAGAAATCTCATCTACGCTGGAAACCGTTCCAAGCTGCCAAGGAGTAGCCAATGGCTTGGCGACGATAGCTTCGCTTCAGCCAGGGTTGCCCCATGAGCCATTGCGATTCGATAGACCTAAGAATGTGTGGAAGCACTATTCGTGTGATCGATGCATTGCATTGAGAGGCAGCCTGAGGCGATCAAAAGCACAATAACTATAACGCTTTTCCCAAGGAACAACAAGCTTGGACATGAGATGGAACAAGAATGACATGTAAGAACTGGACACATGCTGAAGTATGAGAAAAACACATGGATAACATGGCTGTTTCGGAAAGGCACAACAAACAATGAAAACATCTCTGCCAAGAATCGGCTGGTCCACGTCAACCTGCTCATCTCTGCCCAAGTCAATGATTTGCGGGTGTTTGTGACCAACTAGTTGTTCATGATTTATCAATGCTAGTCAGTCATGGGACAAGTGATAGTATTTTTCTTTGCATCACAGGAAGTCTGTGCCTTCAGCCTGTCTCTGTCTCTGCCTGGAGGGAAGTGGGAGCCAGCTGTGCACATGCAGCCCGCTGTACCCAGCCTTGTTGAGCAAGAAGTCCTTCATAGCCTTCGGGATCTGTCGCAGTATCTCCACAAACGCTGCTGCCGGTTGCAGCGCCTTGGAGATTCGAAATCCGAATCTTCTCTGCTGTACAGCAAAAACATTCACCTCCATGCCTTTTGCAAGCGTCCTGGGCTTAAATATAGGCCAGGCTATGCAATCAATGCCAAGGTTCTCCACTGGGCGTGGTGGATTCTGGTCGTGCCTGGGCAAGCTCTTGTCAGCTAGTCAACCTAGTGTTCGCAGGCTAGTGGGGAACAGGCACGCGGCTTGCGGAAATGGAATGGCTGTCGTGGGAAACGATTTCGTCCTGTGATTCAATTGCCACAATCGTGGGCTTGGTCCGTGCCCGTATTCTGATCTAAATCTTCAAGAAAGATCAAGAGACTGATACATCACCCCTTTTTCTAAATTGTTATTTTCCCTCTTTTCTTTTTTTAGCCCGTGGCCTACCCCCCTACTACTTAACCAAGGAGGCGCTCACTTATATAATTTAGTAAGGAGGTGAGCTCCTAGGTAGGATGCAGGATTTGGTTCCTAGATTGTTTTGAAAATAATGTGAAGCAGCTTAAGCATCCAAAACCTGGAGCCCGACCAGTCCACCATGTAGCTTTGGGCGCTTAGGGCGGCAAACTGCAGGGTCCCTGACCTACCAGGAGTCTGGCCATCCTGCTCGACCATCGCTTGGGAACATGCAAGAAAACCCACGGCATATCACGGCTGTGCACACCCTTCTGTAGGCCACCCGTTCGGTCAACTTAAGCAACGTGTGAGGAGGGAACAGGGTTTGGCTTATGCAGTGTAACCCTGCAACTCACCCAACGGCATCATATCATACAGCTGATTCCAAGAAGGGAACATTCCTCAAACCCTTAGATTCCACTAATGTCTGCCGTCTGCCCGTGTCTTTCTTGATTGCTTTTCAGATCCTCACTGATCCTGGCTTTTTGCAGAACCGAGACACCCGATCTCGGAGGCTTTCCAAACAGGCGAGTAGAGAGCCATCTGCAAGCTCTGCATGCTCAAGAGCGTCTATGACCTAGCATGCTAAAGCTGATTGTGAGTCCATGTGCAAGCCTAAGAAGCCCCAGAATGAGCACACTGAACTGTCGCAGAACTGGATACGCTGATATGCTGAGTTTAGCGCTGATGCTTCTTGGTCCTCTGTGTTCTGCCGCAGCCACCAAGGTGCTGAAACGCTGCGTAGGACTGCCCCTGTGGCACTTCCAAACCTTCCACTGACTGTGGCACTTGTCAGAATCTCTCAGATCTTGTAACGCAATGCTGCCATCGTTGGACAACGACCGCACAACATGTTGTATTGGTTCGGGTCGCTCTGCAGGATTATCGGTTGGGGCAAGCAAGGATCTTTGCCTATGTTTGTCTTTGATGAAGACGTTCTGCATGTCCAGGACCCTTCACAACAACTCAAAGATCTGTTTATCAGATTGCCCACAAGGTCATCGAGGATGCATCCGATACAAAGTCGTTCCCTCTTTGTTTACCCTGATAAATATCAAAAGGTCTTGTCCTGATGCCTACTTTTTTCACAAAACAGCTCATCCACTTATAATGTCTTGAAACCAGTAATTAGAGTCGAAGCAAAAACTGGCTCGGTTGCAAAAAACCAAACAAAGTGGGTGTCAGCACATTTGCATGTTGGCTCCACGGAAGTTACCCTGAGTCGCAGCCATCAAGAGGGATGTAGAAACTAAAGTCAAGTTGCTCGTTCAAAAAAGGGGCCAGCTCTGCTTGTTGGCCCTGTCGCGTGGCAGAAATCGTGTGAAGATCAATAGCTTGGCAGCCCGCGAAAGCACAGCTACTGCTTCACCAAAACGGTTTGTATGATGTTCGCTACACCTAGTGTAGTGCTTTGCTACATACCGGTAAACACTACCAGTACCTGTTCCAACATCCTGACTGCTCAATCCATCGCGCTCGAAGCATGAGTTTCAACCAAAGCGGCCAATCTGTGCCCGACGACCCTGTTTTGCCAAAATATGTTGCAAAAGCGCGGCGATTTTATGAATCCCCCATCTGAACTCACCCACCGTGTTGACCCTTTTTCTCTCGGAGAGCGCACCTGCGTAAAGGGGCTTCGAAGCCAAGCCAGTGCGGCAAGTAGCACAGAGTGGTGGCACATCAACAAATGAAGAAGGCCTAAGCAAGGGCAATAACAAAAATAGTATGTGTATATACTGTATATATATATATGAATATATGCGCTTTAATCTGGCACCTCACAATCAGGGTCAAGGCCAACTGGCGAGGACACTGCAAAACGCATCAAAATAAAGGGCTACCGATGAGAAGAGTGGTGCTTGGAACATCAGCTGACTGGCGTCCCTCTCACTGTAAGTGCACACAGTGCACACATGCAGCTTGGTCACCACGCAAGCGCCTGCAACGCAAAGCCCAGAAGCTCACTATTGAAGCTATGTGTCTTGCATTCACTATTGAAGCTACATGAAGCTACTATATACTGCGAGCGGAAAGACGGCTTGCTGAACCAATAATGCTCTTTGAAGGACTGAGACAGACCACAAGTCAAGAGGCAATCCAACGCATTTGCAGAACGACAAGGTTAGGTTGCATGCCAAATCTGGCTAGTGCATTTCGATGTGTTTCGCTATATTTCGCCTGTGCTGGTGCCAGCGAAAGGCTTCCCACCGAGCTTCTGCGAGCTGAGATTCCAGGTGCAGGGAATTGATCTTCAGCAGTTGCAAGTGTTGGCCTCAGAAGCAACCACTATGCTGTTTGCTGCAGTCAAGGATCAAGCCTTGCGCAGTTGTTACAATCAGGGTGCCAAGGTACCCAAGGTCTCCAGGTCAAAGTCGGATGGCCGGCGTTGAAAGTATTTGAGGAGCAATTGAAGACTGCGCCTTAGTTCACACCAAGGCAACACACGGTTCCTTCCAAGATACTCGAGCCAGCTGACAGTTTACTGGCAAAGTAGCTACAGTAAAAGCAAAGGTCAGAAATGACAAGTAACGGACTTCCCGATTTTCTGAACACATGCGATGGGCTCGCATGCATTGTACATTATCCCCCCAGCCCCAGCCCGATATGTGCTGGGTCACAGTCCAAAAACTATATATATATGTATATATAAATATATACGTGCATGCGTACCTGACCTGATCTCTCCAGGCGGGCACAAAGTGATGTCGAGATGCCAAGTGTTCTCAGATATTTCTGCCAAATCCTCTGCAGTGTTGTCGGAGGCCAATAGGGAGCTGGAAAGGCAATAAGGAGCGCGCAATAGCAAGGTCATGGCCTGGGCCCACTAAAAACCATGGAAACTGAAAGTTGGACATGGAAGACTAAACGGATCTTAAAGAAAAAATAGGAAGAAGCGAGAGAAACGAGCTATGAAGACTCGAGCCCAACTCAATGGGCCCAAGCCTTCGAGTGGGTGTGAACATCTTCGATTTGTACTACCAAACCCTTTCTGGGTTCACTGCTGACAATGCCAGGGCAGTGAGGGTGAGATATGCATAGCCTCAGCGCCAGTGCACACTCTTCTTGAAATGTAAAGTCTAAGTTCCTAGGCATCACTGCATCACCACATCTTTTGGAGGGTCACCTACCCACAGTCACAATTGATTGCGTGCAATATCATTTCACTACAAGCAGGCTCCTGATCCACCCAACGATTTTGAGGCTCTGCTATGGCAGGGTCTGACAACCAGTCTAGGCCTTGGATTCCAGATTCCAACGCCTTGGAAGTGGAGTTCATAGTCATAGTTTAGCATAGATACATCTCAGATGGTGTTCTGTTTCATTGGCACAAACAATGCTATCAGCTATCCATGATGCAAAGAAAGCTACGAGTGTTCAAACAACAGAAGTGTCGGTCTCCTGACGTCCAGTGGCAAAGAATCATCGACGTCCAATTGATGCGATCCTGCGCCAGTTGGACCAGCAGCGCAGCCACGCAGCCATGTAATATGTGGGTATCATGCAAAACCGACCCACTGATATATAGTACGCGAAACAGACATGGGTGATGGGATGTCGGCTTTGTCGCCTTCATCATTCATCAGGTCGAACGGCAAACGGAGGGAGTTCCAAACACACAACACATCGTCGCCGGCGAGTTCTGGACGCGAAGGCCCGTTCTGGAAACGACTGGAAGGCCCGTTTCTGCGCGTTCAACACAGACGGCGCGTTCGGTCTCCTGGTTCATGATTGCGCCAAGGGCCGAAGCCTTGGTGACAAGCGGACAAGACCAGCCCCGAAGCCACGTGAAGATGTCAATGATTCACCCAGCTTTGCAACCCAGCAGCACGTATATAGCAACTCACATGACTGGGACTCTTCAAATGTTGCGAAAGCTCCCAAACTGAATCCAAATCCATGTGTGGAGTTCAAAGGAAGCTATGGAGCAGAAGTTGGGAACAGGAACTGTGCTCCATGAGCTGGGCGCAGGAAGGAGGGAAGCCCACCAGAACTACAAAAACGTTTTCCCCAGCTGAATGTTGCTAGTAGCTAGGGACGTACAAACATCTCCAGCATTGTTGGCCCTCTAAGAAGATAAGGTTAAAATTAATGGAAACATAAAGCGCACCACAGGTGCAACAGCACAGAAACGTCCTGCTAGGCACGTGCAACTACCTACTGCCTTGCTGCGCATAAATCATGCTTCCCCGCCGCGTAGACTGTGCTTTGCAACGGCGACTCCACAACTGCGAAAGCTGTGCCCGGGGAGAGTCGTACTGCTAGGTACGCGCAACTGCCTCTTGCATTTCTGCGCATGGCATAGAACATAGTTTTTGATCGCGCCGCGCGTAGAAAGAATGCGCTGCAACGCAGGCAGGAGGCACAAACTGCTTCCATCGCCAAAGCGTCCTGCCAGACTGCATCGTAGTGGCGACGAAAGGCACACTACAAGTCAAGCCATTGCAGTTGCAGAAACACCCTGCTCAGTACACGCAACTGCCTGTGGCATAGCGGCGCATCTAAGTTTTTGATCGTGTATAATTAGAAGAGATGCTCCGCGACAGAGGCAAAATGCACACTGCAAGTGCAAAATCTGTTGCGGGCGCAAAATCTTGCTGCTAGGTACATGCACCTGACAACGTTTCAAGGGGCATTCTGAACACAGCACCTGGCAGTACCCAGGCCTCCAACGCTGGCTGCAGGATTACAAGGCTTCAGACCACAGCAACTGACAGCAACCACTGACAGCACCCAGGGTTCTATATAATATTTGTGAGTTCCAAGAACACGGCTCCTAACAGCACCCAATGTTCCAAGGTTGGAGGCTTGCAAAAGCGCCGAAGGGTTCGAGGGAGGCACCTGGTAGCACCGGTTCCAGCAAGGAACTCCGGATCTCGGGCACCGGTGACAAAGTGTGCGCCATTCCCCAGAGATTGAAACCCAACTGCATTTGGCTGTTGGAAATTTAACTCATTGGGTCTTTGGGTGTGGCCTTCAGATCTTCCCATGCTACATAAGCGTTATGAAACATGCGCTGCAGCGACGTGTTTTCCACGGCGTGACAACGTCACTCTGCGTGCTGAGCTCTGCACATTGCTGAGGTATGTCACCTTGTCGGCGCATACGGAATAAACTCAAAAGCCCAACTCAAAAAAGATGTCCAATTCTAGTATCTTGCAAGTTGAAGTGAGATGCGACATGCAGTCACAAAGATTGCCCGCAAGTGGAACACTTTCAGCGTCTTCACCCCGAGCGGGTGATCATCTAGAACTGTGGCTTTGGCATCCAATGAAACGAATTATCCAATGAATGTCAAAAGAGATGCTTAAAGTCACCGCTTCACTCTCCATGAAAGCAAGGTGAAGCCAAGCTTTGACAGACCATTGAGAGTGCCAAGATCCCATCAGAATTGTTAGGAATTGTTGGTTGCTACAAAATTACGAGCAATCTCTCTGCTGATGTCGGTTCGTCCAAGTCACAAAGAGCGGTGAAAGTGTACCCAGGAACATCTTTTTCATATCAGCATCTGCTCCGCTCAAGCAAACTACCTTGTGGTCTAAACAGCATCGAAGAAAGCAAAAGGGTGATGGTTTCAAAGACTGGACTTCAAGTTGGCAACGCTGATCTTTGTGGCCTGAACAGGGACCGTTACTGTTGATCCAATCCAAAGGTCTTGTGTTGTATTGTAAGCCTGCAAATCATTGTCCTTGCTAGGCTTTTGACAACCTAAATGCTGAAGCAAAAGGAACCGATGCCTTTTAGGACGGAATAGAACATAATAAAACCATCAAAAAGCGTTTCCTCTGCCGAGCTACGTATGCAATCAAAAATGCCAGGAGCAAGCATTTGCTATCATAGAAGTCGCCTGAGTGCAGCTATGAGCTTGCTGATGCACCCTGCAAGTACGGTCCCTTGATGTTTCTATATAATTCTATATATATATATTTGCCGGATGGGCGAAGGGTTTGCTGATCTTCTACGAAGTTCGCATGAATGAAGTTGGGTTGAGCCAGAATGCCCCAGAAAGCCAATGGTGCATGTGCACCAAAAGCACCGAAAGCAGCTGCCCTCATTCCGTTTCCAACTACAGCTTGGACACTCAGCTGTGCAAGTGAGTCTCTGCTGCATTTACAGTACAAAAGCTGGTCATTTATTGGGCCAAGGTATGTATGCTGGGTTCCTAGTGCACCGTATTGCTGTATGGTTTTGCAGGGAAAGAGATTGCTTGTAACCACATCGTCACAGACCATACTGAACTAGGTTTGGACGTGTCCACTGTCGACTATCTGCTTCTATATAAACATGAACCAACAAGACTTTGGACTCGGGAAATTCCACCAATGAGAGCAAGGTTGGAACCCTGAGCTGACAGCATCATATAGGCTTTGAGCACTTCAGAGCTCAAGCAAGATTAGGGAATTTGAATATGTTGACCTTACTGGCATGCAACAATGCGTCCCCAAAAATTACAGTGTATAGAAAGACTCATGGCCTCATAATGCCTCATAGCCCTAAAGAAGGTCAAGGTGCCTGGATTGCTGGGCGCAGATTTGCAGAGAACAATCACCACTAGGAGTGCCAGTATCGTGCCAATGCTCGCATTCATAGAAATCCTGGGCAGTGGCCAGTTGCTATTGGCAACAGGTAGAAGGGTGGATTGAACGCCCTGCCAAACTCAGCTCGAGTGTTTTGAATCCAAGGAGTCAGAAGTTGAGTTGAGACCTTTGAGCAAGGTCTTTGTTCATGCAGTGTTCAAATTGTCATCTGGGGAAAACCCCATCTCATTCTGCAGCTGTTTCTGGCTCTTTTTTATCAGCTAGCCTAGCCTCCTTTAGAAATTGTGTTTCGAGTCAGTACGTAGGCAATATCCAGAACATCCAGCCCCTTGCTACTGTAGAGTAGATTTTGCTTTTAGGCGGGATCCAATCTCATTCTGCAACTAACTCGCCTTCAGGTGTGCATGACATGTTCTGTTTGCTCATGTTGTGCAGATCTGCACTAGCGTCACAATGTCCAAAGCATTGGCACAAAAATAGCATGAATGGGGCAGAATCATCATTTTATAATCATTAACAGCGACAAGCGACAACAAGAAGAAGGAAGAGGCAATGTCAATTACAGCAGCGACTACAGCGGCTACTGCAGCAAGGGCAGCGGCAGCAAAAGCACAAAACTCCCAATAACATAGATAAACGGCGTGGTTTCGGGGCCCCAACTTGTTGAGACAAACTCGAATACAGCTGACCGACTTCTGGACAAACATCATATCGGAAAATCATAAAGCATAGACAATCGATGCCAAAGCGTCTGAATCCATCCACCAAGACTTTTTTTCAGCATACCTTGATGCGCAAGGTCAAGCTAACTAGCTGTCAAAGGGCCACTGGTACCAAACTCATCACTAGGCCTTTCAAGAGTTTCTCCTTCACTTGTGTTATGTTGATTTCATGGGAAGCACACTAGTAACTAGTAGCAAAGGCTGAAAGTTCATGAGTAAGAAGTGTCGTCTGCTTTCTTGTCATCTTGGACACGCCTTCATTCAAACACATTGAAAAAAGTGTAAAGCGTCGTGAGGGGCTTCTCCAAATGATTACAATGATTACAGTCCGTTGCCTAGGATTCATGCCTCTCAGTCCGGGCAAAGGGAACTAGTGTGGCCCTGCCATACAGCGTTTGTATATACGTATATAACTTATATATATATATACTGTGTATGCATAGCATATGAATCTGCACTGAGTTGTTCTTCCAGCAGACTGCTTTGCTTGCTGACTTCTTCTGAAAGAGTAGATCAGCTAGATTCATCTGCCAATCTGGGCCTCTCTCACACACACAAGTGCAAACAGGAGAAAAGGATGCAGGAGCATCCTGTTGTGGATCCCAACCTCCTTGTGTGACACGGTCAGCAGCTGTTCAGGGTCATGCAGCAATCTGAACGATCCGGTGCTCGAGGGTGATGGGTCATGGTGACCCGCCATGGTTCTAAGAAACAAGTCTGACGGGTCACCAAAAGGCAATGATCCATGATATCAATGATAGCTATGTTGCATGCCACTACGCACTTGTCAATCCAGAAAGGCGTGTCCATCTCCAGCTTTGTCATCAACAAGCCGCAGTCAGGGTCTTCCACCCTTGTCTAGCCGAGATGCTCATGTACCACAGAGGCAACCATATGTACACCGTTTGGATGCTTTCTGAGACATTCTGAAGCTCTGGATAGGTCAACGGCACCATCAGAAGGATAAAGATTGCACCTGAAGGGGTCGGATCTGAAGGCTAAGTTGGTGAGGATGAAGGCTAAGTTGGTGAGGATGAAGTGTCATAAAACGGCATGACGGTATTGGTTGCAAAGAACATACAGAACTGCAACTCAACAACAAAGGTCTGCAAATGTCCTGGCAGGATGTAGACATCGCTCATACATACCTCGAAAACACTGGCTGTACTACTTTTAAAAAAAGCCTTGTGTCCCCATCTTGCGTCACTCCCACAAGTGTTCTCAATTGTTCTCATCCCATCTTGATTGAAAACAGAGCTTGATAAAGGCAGATTGAAGGTTTAAGTCCTGGTATACACAAGATTACAGAGATGTACTTGGTGTAATTTTACCCAGAAGCCCAAACTGCCCTGCCTGAACGAAGCGCCAGTGTAAAGTCCATTTCCTCGGCTGGAGGCTTGCGGAGCAAGCTGACACAGATAAGCAAAGGAGCCTTCCTTCCGGGAATCGAGGAATCCTTGCTTGGGCTTGGCCAGGTTACAATGAAAAGCTGTGTGGCCAGTTGTCACTTGCCAAGTGGCAAAGGCACGGCCTCGAGATCTGAGCAAGCGCAGGCTCCTCAGCAAAAAATAACAGCAGGAGACATATCAATAAATATGAATATATAGATAATTTAATAAATAACGTTCAATGAAGCACATCCTGCGATACTTAGCTACCAGGAATAGGGAGTCAAAGGCTCTTTTGTACAACCTTTTGTACAACACAATGTCGTTCCTTTCAACAACCATTCAGAGAGAAACTTAGAGTTTGAGCTCACGCACAGTAGATCTACTGCTACCCTCATTCCAAAAGTAGTGTTAGCAACAGGCTGGCCTGGCCAGGACATCATAGCCAAAGCAGGAGCAGGGAAATAGCTATTACAAGCAGTGTTTGGAGCAGCAAACGGAGTACAAGCCTTCGTTGGATTGGCAGAACTTGTTGGACGGTCGGATTGCACGCTGTAAACTAACGGGAAAAAGTGAAGGAGGTGACTCTTGATGACCTCATCATACAGCACGACAGCAAAGTCCTGCAAGTGCTTGGATGAGATATAGCGGGCTCCTGTCATGCTTAGACCTATGTTATGCAGACAAAGGTGCCACATCCTTCTAGACCATCGGGGGGGTGTCCACTGAAAATGACAAGTCGTAGTCATGGAGCTCATGATACGCAGCGATCCTTCTCAGCATGCAAAGTCTTGAAGCGAGAGGAGAGTTGGCACTTAGCTACTAGTAGCGTCCTTGCTACTGGTAGCGATGCACCTTGTTACTAGTAGCTTCTTGTTACTAGTAGTAATGTAGTAATGCCCTTGTTCCTAGTAGCATCCTTGCTACTTTAAATGAGCCTCCAGCTCAAAGGAAGGGCTCCCAACCAGTGTTGAGATAATACCATGGGTGGTCAATTCCACAGGCCAAACCAGGGCCAAACAACCCCTTCTTGGGTGAGCAACAAAACAGGACAGTCAAGGAAATTGCTGCCTGAACGATGGGAGAAATGCAGCCGAGAATCTGCCAGCATACACCAATGATGGCAGCGGCAGCAGAGAGCGTATATACCCAAGGCGGGAGTGTATGTCCTTGTGCCTCAGATTTGAGCAGAGCTTCTTAGAAACTATAGTACTGTGCTGTATTTTGGAAGATATTAAGGCAATTTATTGAATGGAAGATCCATTTTTCGAGGAAAATCCAGGCAACAGCAAATGGAAGAAATACCCTGTAGCATAAAGTAGGTGTTCAATTTCTTCCATTTGTACTAGAGGCTTGCTCTGTCATTAGAAAAACTGAGAGAAATGGCAGGGAGAGACTGTTCCTCTTCCTTTTCCTTTCCCCTTCCTCTTCTCTTCCTGTTCCTTGTCCTCTTCCTTTTCCTTCTCCTCCTCTTCCCCGCTTCCTCTTGCTGCCATGATTTGGTTCTCCGTTTCCTTCTCCTGTTCCAATTTTCGAGCTACAGCACGGTACTATAAGTCTCTTTTGAACTTAAAGGCTCAGTTGTGGTTCATGAACTCTTGGGGTGTCAGCTTCAGGAAGAGAAACGCGATGTCTTGATTCTTAAAGTAACTTGCGTATCAATTGCACGGTGTACTCAGCATATATACTATCAATGATCCTTATATGGCTTGATGTTACAGTACCTTGCCTGCGCTAAGCCGTGGTTCGTAAGGTGACTGATTCATTGATTCTGTTAGAATCGAATCACTGAGGAGGTTGGTAGCTATTCATATATATAACATTATAAAACCAGTGAAAGCCAGGATGATAAGGCCATCGGTGGGAAAAAAAATATCCAAGACAAATGCAAACACTTCCTCTCGTTGTGCTTCAAAAGGAACGATTGAATTAGCGACCTTAAAAAAGGAAAAGGCAATATAGAACAAAAACATCTAAAACACGCATTGCTTTTTTACATTTCCTCGTGGAAGCAGATCTCCCATGCTTCACATGTCTGCATCCCTCCTGTCGCCAAGCGACTCCAATCTGAAGCGGCCAGGTTCCGCTCCTTTCGAGCGTCAAAGAAAGGAAAAAGCGGCTCGTCTTTCTTTCTGTTCATCTCTTCTTGCGAGAGAAAGGCAGCAGTTTGTTTATAGCAAAGTGTTCTTGCAATTGTAGAGCCTAGAATGTAAAACTTGGGTAGAGGCAAAAGCACTGCAAAACAGCTATAGCTGTAGAGTGGGCGGATGGCTCAACCTGGCAAGTTTCAGTGTGCCCGAAGGCCAAAGCATAGCAAAGCGGAGGCGGTACCCGGTAAACCCCTCCTACAGTTCGGAAACCACAAAGTCATCCACCAGTGCCGGTGGTTCGCATAACGGAAAGGCATTCCATCTACCAAATCTGATATGGAGTCGAGCATGTCGTTCTAGCATGGACACCTCAGGATAAATGTGTTTCTAATAGGCTAGGGTCTGTCTACTAAAGGACCTTTATAATAGTTCATCCACCTCCATCGCTCAGCTATCGCGTCTCTCGGCTGAGTTGCTTGAGCTGGTTATCTGAGATGTGCGGGCCTTGCAGCAGGTGTCGTGTCAAGGAGCGGCCAGCTCGAAGACTTGTTCAATTTTTCAATAAGCAACTACAACAATGTCTTTCCAAGCACCAGCAACGTTGGTCATGGGGCTATTCTTTCATCTGCTAAATATGGGGTGCTACAGTATACTTTCAGTCGGTTGAAGGGATTGTTGCTTTTAGTGCATGCTTCATTGCATGGCTTTTGTGGAGGGGAACATGCAACCTGTGATTGACTCATTGACGGTCAAAAAGAGTCAATTCAATGGACAGGAATCCAACAAGATTAACAAGGGGGTTTGAAAGTGTCTCGGAGTCTCAAATCGTCTCAACTCGACCAGGAGCTTGCCTTGGCGCCGTTCTGGCCGCATGTGCACGGTGTCCTTTAGGCCATAACTACATTGCACAAGCAACCTTGGCAAGCTCAGCGTCGAGTGAGCCATCTAGCCCTCAAAGCTCAAGCCGAAGTGGCCATAGAAATTGACAGGAATTCATGCCTGGCCACCTTGAACCTGGCTGGTTGATTGATATGCTACAGAATAAGTCGTAGGCTTGGAGTGTGAACTAGTGTGTAGATATACATAATTTCAAGCATGGTCTAAGTTGACCTTGTCACAATAATCTCAAGTTCATTCGAGTTCTGTTGTGCTTTGTTCCAAGGTCCAGGAGCCTCCTGGCCATTTTCAGGCAAGCCACGATTACAGTTCGGGTCAGCCTGTAGGCATGACTGCAGTCCCAGGACTAAGGCAATTGAGCCAAAGCAGGTGCAGCAAGCTCAGCATTGATCGTCACCCTTTGGCATTCCAGCATGTCCAACAGCTTGTGGAAGGTGATGGAGGTGACCACAATGGAGACATTACTGAGACATCCGTCATCCGTCAGCATTAAATCCAGTCGCCACTACACTTTAAAATTACTTTAAAAAATATATATATATATATTGACTTTTGTTGGTGGGTGACTGACGCAAAAGGAACCTCGAATAAGGACTGGACGAAAGTTTGATAGTTTGTGTTAATGCGAGGTGTCACAAAATCCTCACATCAAACACAAGACAAGAGGGTGGGCACATGAAAACGCCTCTTAGCCCCGCAACAGTAATGATCTCAGAAAGCATGGCAACTCTGAGGCGTATCAACAGGAAAGGCAATCAATCTTATAAGAAGTCCATGTGCAACATCAACACAACCACAATCATTCCGCCTCAAGCTCCTTGTCCGGGTGCAATCCTCAAGTCTAATGAACTTGATTGACGTCAATCGGAACTGGGCCAGCAGGCCATGCTGAGGCAGGTCGAACAGTTCAGTGTCCTCCGTTCCTTCTAGATCATTCTATATAGCAAAATATGATTGTCAATGCGCAGAAACACAGAAAGCCGTCCACGCATCCTAATTTCATGTGGCAAAACTTCTTGCAAAAAATGATGAAACTCTCCTTGCCATGACAAGCCAGCACCTTGAGAAGGAGGCGCCTGTCCATTGGGGATGGGCGAATATGACACTGGATTGAATCTTGAATCTTCATGAGTCTTGTCACAGTCCAAGTCTATTTACTCGCTCTCGCTCTCGCTCTCGTTCTCAGAGCGGTGTTTTAGCTGCCATTCCTCAAGCTTAACCATTCCTTAAGCTTAACACCTTATAATACCTTATATAATCTTATATAATACCTTATACAGTATGGAGTCCTGAGCCACCCAAGTCTTTTGCCAGGGAACGGAAGCTTTGCTGCGATCCACTCAGAAATGCAAGGAGATCAAGGAGTGATACATAGCATAGCACGATTGAAGCACCGCTTCCTCAATCATCTCCAAATTACCAGCCAAACAAACTGGAAAAAAAGCCTTTTGGCTCCTCTTCATCTTCCGCATCCTCTTCAGTAACTTCATCTGAATCAAGGGGCTTGCCGCCAACTGGGCAAATCACAACTTTGGTGAAATTTGCCTCCCAGTCATCGAAGGACATGAAGAAAGTACCATCATCGCGGCGCAGTGCTCCAATCCGCTTGGCAAGCTCCGGGTTTTCGGCCCAACGTTCAGATGCAAGTTCCTTGTTGAAGATGTTGTAGTCGGCCCAATCACCCTTCCACTCCCCAGTGTGATGTGGATTGGCAATCTGCATCAAGTTTACAGAGTTGCCATTGTCCAGCTTCTCTGGGAGAATTTTGAGCAAGGCATAGGCATGGTGAGCAAGGAGTCCGTTCTTCAACTTTGCTTCGACTCCAACACCCTTCATCTGAATGGAGCATGCCAGGACATGTTTGTCTTCGTTGTGCGTCTTCAAATATTTAAAGAGTTCACTTTTACTGGTTGAGCCCAACTGCAATACTTCAAGTTTGAAATTCTCGGGTTTCGAGACTCTTCCTTCGTGACTGGCCCTTGTCGGCACTTGCGCCAGCTGCCCTTCTGCTTTAAGAAAGTGATCAAGTCTGGTTTCCCGGTCAGCACTCGAAACGCCCAGTGTGGATACCCTGAGTTGAGCTTTCCATAAGTGCCGCAAAACTTGGCCAGCGCCTTCTCCAGCAGCGGCACCCAAAGCTCGTTCCCCAGAGGACGGGCAAAGGTGGGACTGGGTCTGCCATCCTTGATCACACAAGGCAAAAACTCGTCAATCTCCACTTGAACCCATTTGTTCTCGTAGATGTCAAAAAGCCATACCTTGTACTTTCCATCCTCGGGCACATGTTTAGAGTCAAATAAGCCCTTCAACTTCTCAGGGTGTGTGGCTAAAGCACCCAGGGCGCACATCAACCAACAGTCTCCGACAGCGCCTTGCTGCACATCCTGAGGCCGTACACGGTCAAAGAGCACGGCATTTCCAGGATCTCCGAGCATTCGGCCACGCATCCACTGCTCAGTCTTTCCCAAGTTCAAGGCACGGTCTGGATCCACGATGCTCGTGTCATCGTGGGGGAAGCTCATGTCTTTGAAAGCGTTTGGGTCATCCTCAACTCCAGTCCAGTCAGATCGAAAGGTTACAGGAAAGCACTGGTACTTGAAAGGTTCTGCATCAACATGCAAGAGCGTCTCAGTGACCTCCTCTCCTGGCTTGACCGCCACAGTGATTGGGTTTCCCTTTGGGAAGCTGACGTTGTGGTGGTTCCGGATTGTAAAGGTGAAGACTTGGCCTACAGCTCCCGATGTGTTGACAATTGATGCTTGAACCGTCTTCTTCCCGTCCGTGATGACCTCGCTCACACGGTGCATAGGTGGGTTGTCCGTGAGCCAAGAGATAAACTCGTGCACATGCACTACACCATCTTGGTTTCCATCAGCTACCTTGAACCAGTCCCGAGCTCGGGACTCTGGAATCGCGAGCAGATTTGACAAGAGTGCCACAAGTTCATCCTCGCTCATAACGCCATCTCCTGAGGTATCATACTTCTCAAAGAGCTGTTGCAAGCGTTTCCTGGCCGTTGCCATCCAAATCAACGGATGGTCCTAAGAATTTGAGCCACGTTGAGCCAAATGCTGCCGAAAGGCTTGTAAACAACGGCAAACCAACCAGTCCAGCTGCGACCATACCACAAGAATGTTCTGCACTTTTTCAGCCGGCCTGGGGCGGCACAAACATAATGCCCTGAGCCTGTGACCTCAACTTGCTACAATGCGATCCACGACATGGCTTGAAACTATGCGACTCCCGAACACGGGCATCATATTTTCATTGAAGATCCAGACTCTGGAATTGCCTGCCTGTCCTTCCATAAATCAGCCGCTTACAGGCTTTGACTCTTTTCTTCCGTCCGTTGAAATCTGCTGACTGGACTGACACCAACCATGGTCCATGAGCAAAGTTCTTTGCAGTTCTGGTGCGTCCTCAATGACAATTACACCACAATGTGGTCGTGTGGTCGTTTGCAAATGATTCACTTTTTCCTCCAAAGCAAGCCTTCAAACCAAAATAACCAGGTAACGCTTGCTCATGTTTTCAACTACGAAGTCGGGCTAATGCCAGGCCGAGGGCCGGACGCATTCCGCTCACTGTACCACATGGTTTGTTGCCTGGTTGAACATATGGGCTTAAATCAGCTTTATGTAGCTAGTAGTAAAATATAGAGTAGCTACCAAGCTTAAGTAGCTACTACGTATGGACAAAACAGATCTTATCCGCCGACCCCAGCCTAGCTGACGGCTAGGCGGGGCGGCGCTTGGGACACCGCAGGGTGGGGCGGCAGCCTGTGGACCGTGGCCTTGCCAACTCTTGCTTAGTCATTTCAAAGCTGCCGTCTGCCATCTACCTGGCCACAGCTGCACACCGAGGGGCACGTCCCAGTCCGCCCCGGGCCGGCCCTGCCAACTCCTCAATGGGTTTCGCCACCCGCTCTGGCTAGAGGGTGCCTTCCAGGCCTCGGTCGTGGGCTTGCCAACCTTGTTTTACTGGCTACTGGGTTTCGAAGCTGCCGTCTGCCTCTTTCCAACCGCGTTTGCACGCAGAAATAGATGGGGAAGGCGGTCGAAGCTTCCATGCCTCCGCCGTGGCCTCGCAAACCGTGTTTTACAGTACTGGGTTTCGAAGCTGCCGCCTGGCCTCGTAGGGGTCGGCGGCACCTGGGTTTTAGCCCATTCTATCCGGCAACGCCGTCCCGGTGAGCATATCAAGCTTAGCTTGCTATACGGAGACGCGCTCTTGCCGCCGATCCGCATTTATCGCATTTCTAGCATCACCCGGGCTCATGTGGCAATGTCAAACAACACAGGGAAAATTATCAAAATTCCAATTGTAAAGCTTATATAGCTTTAAAACCTTCAGAAAATAGAGCATTGAAAATGGATACAAGTTTTGAGGATAAATTTTGGTCGAGCATCATTAGCATCAGCAGAGCCTCAGCAGGAAAGATGCAAATCCTTTGGTGCACGACTAGGCACAAAACACTGTATAATATGTATAATTACCTTGATGCTAAATGTATGTAGTTTATGAACAGTGCTGCTCCTACTCTGGTGATGCCAATAGTGCTAGACACAAGTGCTACCTCAACGCGTGCGCGCGCGCGCACGCATGCACACGCGCACGCGCACGTGTGCGCGTGTGCGCGTGTGCGCGTGCGTTCGTGTGCGTGCGTGTGCAGGTGTGCTTGCGCGTGCGTGTGTCTGAAGCTGAGGTTGCCAGGCTTTTTACATCAGACCCTCGTGCGCACACCTGTGTGGAAATGTGTATGCGCAGGCGTCAGAAGCTGTGCTAATCGTCCACTTTGTTGTGCAAAGACCCTCCGGATGCGTGCAGTGCCCCCAAGGGCATCGCCGGTTGGCGAGCCTGTCAGTAGTGTTTTTGGGGGCGGTTTCAGCAGTGCTGCGCAATGCATTTTGACATTCTACAATATCTTCCCAGCCTCTCCCGAGGCGAAACGGTCGTTTGGAGGCGGAGGTAAAGGCGTGGTACACGAGCACCTCAATTGAGAGTCGCTTCTTAACTGGCTGGCAAGTCCGGGCCAAGGAAGACCCATCCATGTCGTCGTGGAAACCTGCCTACGTTGATTGCTCCGTCTGTGAGTGACAGCTAGAGGATCTTAAGTTGTTGGTCCCTGCAGACCGTACCTAGAACAAGACCGTTCTCTTTTCGGTGTTCGCTGTAAAGTGCTGATGCATTTGGCAGTCACTCACCTTTGCTTTCAGATCTTGGATTGAAACTTGGGTGTCCCTTTTCCCCGAGGCCTTTTTGTCTGAAGCATGTTGAATACATTTTATCCCAAGTATTGTGTGTGTATGTGCATCTTCGGTTTTTTGGGAAAGCATCCTTACCTGATCTTGCAAGAAGTACACGCAAGTAAATGATATGCTTCGGCCACTGCCCTAAAAGGAGAAGCTGAACACTACACCTGCCCGAAGGTTCCCTTCAAACGAGTTTCTGGATGCGCCCAATTCTAAGCAGCGCTGGAAAAGCAGTTCCGGACCTGAGAAAAGCTGGACAAGAGTGTCCTTTGCCCAATGATCAAGGTTGTTCAACAAACAGTCACCAATCATGTGGGTGTTGATTTTTTAAATAAGTTTATCGCAGGAATAGTCAAGAAAATCGAAGGCTTAAAAACCAAAGAATGTCCTTTCAGTCCTTTCATTCCAGCAACTAATTACTGTAGCAGACAAGCGGGTGCAACTTCTCGGGATCCGGGCTCAAGTTGTTGATGCTCTCTGCGCTGAGAAGACCAAACCAAGCTTCCCAAGCCTCAAACCAAGGGTATTTGATCATTCGTTCATTCTGATAATGCTCCAGCTACACTAGCCACTAGTCTTGTTGCCAGCCCTGCAATCAGTGAGGATCCTTAACAAACCCAAGAGGCACTCCCAGCACTCCCCCAAAAGTTTAGCAATATGTGCTCAAAGATTCCCAAAGTCCAGCAAGCCAATCTTGGTGAGACGCACATCTCTAGTCAGGCGCTACCAGTCCTCATCGTGTCAGCTGGTATTGAATGCCGTCAACAGAGAGCAAGTCTTGTCCGTCTCACCTGTCGAAAGCCTAGTGGCACTGGGTTTGTCATCCTAGTGTCCGACTCACAGCCATGTTGTTTGTCTGTCTTTCGCAACAGTTTTCTTTTCTTCGAAGCGGAATCGCGAACCGACGTTTGCCTTATGTGAGGACAACTGCATGACAATAACTCTTTATAGAGTTTTTCACGTGGCTCAACTGGAGATTTCAATGTCCAAAAGGGTATGATCCGACTGTACGGCCATGTAGCTTGTGAACATACAGACGAAAGAAGCGTGCTTGTCCTGTGGCAGTTGCGAGAGCAAGTGTTTCAAAAAGGCCCCAGCCAGGTTCCCAACTTCGCCATCCATCTCGCAAACTCCTGCCAAAAGCCAGCCAAACCAGGTTGTAAATTACAACCTCTAGTTAGTTCAACCAGTGTCCCACCTGAATCAAGCGATGGAAGTTCAACTCGCATCTTGTGATAGCTTGCAGTAAAAAATATACGGTAGAACTCTTGCTTCAAAAAGAGCAACAACGGGCGGTTTAACGTCATCAATGCAGTCTCCCGACCTCCCAGCTGTGACCGCACCTAAGTTCTGTGCCGTACTGGCCGGTGTGATTCGACCATACAGTTACTACGGGGCAGGCTGCATAGTGTGTACAGCCTTTCTTTCGCATAAGTCTCAAATGAATGTGTGAACACATGGGAGCACCAGAGTAATATGAGTTGGATGAGAATGGCAAAAATATATACAGTGTTGTTGAACCAAATGTGTTTGAAGTTATTCAGAATAGTAGCAAGAAACATCAAGCAACTATGTCCCTAGAATCAATATTGAGATGACATTGACGGCCTTGAAGCCAAGTATATATATATAACATACGAGTAGGAACAATGAGTCTGCTAGAAAGCACTCCTGCGAATTATGAGTATAGACACCCTCTGGCCAATCATCAAAGAACGCAGGACTATAGTAACTCTGGTTCTGAGGTGCAGGCACCAGCTAAAGAGAGCATCCCGCGATAAAGAAGTTGCTTCTGCCTGGGCGATGAATGGCAAACATTCAGGTGAAAAGGATCCAAAAAGGGGCCGACCAAACTCCCATCACCTGAAGCAACAAATGAAGACACAAGCCCTACAGAAAACATGAAGCACTCGGAGAATCACTCAGAGAATGGTTCCTTTATGCTGCCCCAACCACCGACCTCAACATCTGGGCCCAGACATGTCAGCACCGGAACCGCGACGCCGCAGCACAGAGACCTGCGACATGTTGCACCCGGTCCAGCTCGTCACAAATGCAGTCACCATACACCACCGCTGCCTCAATGCTCGCACTGGGCGATAGGTCCAGCAGCTCTATTCCTGGACAGGCAAATTCAAATGGGTCTACAGCTGGCTGTTTCTGCCATCATTGCTTGTCCTACGTCCCTCGGCCGCACTACATGTATGCAAAGAATTGCGGAGGTGCAAAGACCTCCACAGTCATGTTGAGTGTGCAGTGTGCAGAACAATGCCATGTCAAATGTGAACTTGGAGGGAGTGAACATTTGAGTGCGTGTGCCGAGGTTGATGTAGCGCTGGTGAGCTTTCACTTGCCTTTCTCTCACTTGCTATACTTGGCTTTACTATCTTTTGCTTGCCTTTTGTGCTTGTCACCATGTAATAACATTGGCACGTGCCTGAACGACGTGCAAGACCGCGCGGGGGCAGGCTGTCACTAAGTTGCATTGCAGTCAAACTTGTATGAGAAGGCTGGACGGTGGGTGTCCCAAAGAGCCACGACCGCACTGAGTTGCAGATGCCTTTGGGTCTATTCTATGACCAGTAAGGCCGTGGATGATGATCGTTCAGTTGCAGGCCTTGTCTTGTCCAAAAATTCAAAAAGAGTTATGTTCTTGTTGACTGACTGTGAGATGACCAGTAATAGGACAGACCCAACATATGCATGAGAAGAGCTCATCTGCCTGATTGCGCCAAAGACCCCAACACGCGACTTGCATCTGTTGTCTATTTCTTGGTGAGAAAACCGAGTAGAACTGGAGTTGGGAGGGGCTGTCTCAGGTTCCTGAGAGAAACATGGCAAAACGCTTCAGTGTTTGACGTCAATGTTATCAAGACATGAAACCCAAAGCCTGACAAGTCCTGTGTGTTTCACAAGTCCTGTACGCTCACATGATGTTCGCAAGCTCGCGGTCTCTGGGAGTCCCTGCCATTGGGTTTCAACAAACGATCCTTAGCTCGGCAAACGATCCAGGCATCATGTTTTCAGAGTGAGACATCTTACCCAAACGATTCAGGCAAACCGACTGGATGACTGGACTGGACGCCTGGACGCCTCGGAGTGATGTGGAAGGAGTCCAAGCAACGAACGTTTTCCTAATAGCGTCCTTGCTCCTAGTAGCGATGCACTTGTTACTACTAGTAAGGCACTTGTTTCTACTAGCTTCTTGTTACTAGAATGGCTATTCTACGGATACACAATCACATTCTCCAAGCTTGGATGAAGAGCTGGATGTGCTTCCGAGCGTGCAAAACGTGCTTGGATGCATCGCGATGCCAGGATGAAGACTATATGTGGGAGTTGATCTAAATTCCTTTATCCGGGATCCGTCACTTTCGCAAAAAAAATATTACTTTAGCCAAACTTTCGCCTTCCTGCGTTTTATCTTTCGCCGAAGTACGTTGTATTTATGTGTGCCATGTATGTTGTGTTTTGTTCACGTCAATGGTTTCTTCTTTACTGGCAAACACAAAACTGTCAACTTGGCGAAAGAGACGAAAGTTTTTGGCGAAAGATTTGGCGAAAGTGTTTTTACTGGCAATGAGATTTTGATATGTTCCGGGTCATCGTCATACACAATGCTGTCTAGGACCTTTAGATCGACAACCATGTATATATGAGGGCAACATTGTGTTCAACCAGCTCAGTGTTGGGTCCTCCAAGGCTCAGGCACACTCGAATCGGCCGGTTCCAGCAGCCAGTTTGGTGAAGAGCGATTCACCTAGCAGTAATAGCATTTGAGCAGGCAACAAGCTTGAGTTCCAGAATCCTATGACAACAGATTGAAATGTGCATAGTGGCAAAGGAAATCAGCAATTACAACAAAATCTGCTGGACCATGCGTTCAGTGGGCAGACTGACTCAGAATGCTGACTCAAAATGCTCATCCCACCTTCCAAATGCTCAAAGCATGCGCTGCTTAGGATTGACAAATGCACCTTGATGCTGCCAAAACAGGGATGGCGGGTTTGAACAACTCTGGAGGCTCCAAAAGCACAGATGATACCTTGCAGCGCCTCACATGGAAAGTTTGCTGCCAAGGTCTGTCGTGGTTCAAAAGGACAACAACGCCAGGCCAAGCAAGACTGCAACCAGGTGCCCTGGACCAATGTTTCTAAAACCACAACTTGCACCAACACAACTCATGATTCCCAGTGAAGAAACGGCATCCCCAATTTTGAGATCTGCGCAGCAACTTTTGGTTTCGCCTGGGCAACGTTGCGCCGATCCAACATGTGTTTAACGCTAAAGCATTGAAACAAATCATACCAGCCAACAGCAAAGGTTGCGTGAAAGGATTTCTGTATGCAATTCAAACGGTTGCCTTATCACCAAGCACAAATCCAAATGTGTTGGTGCATGGACATGCATGAACTAAACGCAAACCAGTGCATCACCACAAACCAACTGCGGCGTGAAGCCCCCAGCCTCCGTCACCATAGCAAACGGATGCAAAAAAGAACGTGTTATGTTGATGGCTCTGTTCGGCTTGTGATATGTGTGACTGGAAGTGTTGCAAACATTTTTAGATATTGTGGGCCACAAATGTGCTGACTCATGGGGCATGTGACATGTGAATAACAAAGTGTGCTTCACTTCAATGGGTCCTGCACCTCTGTATGTAGTGCAAGGCTAAGCCTTTGCCTTTCCAAAACAATCGCGCGAAATACCCGACCTTTTGCTGGGAGACTTTTTGTCGACTCACATCCACCAAATCAATCCAAATAGAGGGCTTCATGTGGAAACAAACCTGGTTGCACGTTACATCTCCAATCCGAAACTGTCAGGTTTCATCGGGCTTTTGGAGTACTTTAACAGTTAACATCGACTGGACAGGCTGACTACAAAACGTATCCCTTTCACCGTGGGCACTGACACAGCGCAAGCTGTCCAAGGCTTCTCATAGCCTTTGTGGACTGCTCTGGGCATTGGGTTTGAGCAGACTGTCGAATGTCAATAGTTCAACAGAACAGTTTAGACTTGAGGATCCGGTTGGTTTTCCCGTGAAGTCGTCAGTGACTAAGATCGGAGACAGGCACACCGCTGTACTATGCTTTGCTGAAAAAAGCCACGACCTGTCTTAGTGACTGCGCAACCATCATCCATGATGCGGTTCTGTATCCAGACGCCAAACTTGTCGAACTCAGCTGGTGAGGACCATGTCCAGAACTTGGCTGACCTCATAGTTTCGAGAAACAGCCAGCAGCTTGGGGAGGCATGGCTAGTACAAGTGTGCTCGCCCATACACTTCTCCAGCAAACATTACTGGTGGAAGCAGCCCGGGAACTGGGCGAAGATGGAACGACTGTAGGTCTGGGCTAGCTGTAAGCACCGTCTGGTGTAATGACTATGCAATCATCGGGCAAATGGCCCTTCGTCAATCATCCAAGCTCTGGGTACACTGTACTCAAGCAAACAGCAAGCGCCCGTTGAGCACCATGGTTTCTGGTTCTGATCTCAGCCAACTGAGAAAACGCCACATTCACTCTTGAGCAAACGCCACCAGCCAACCAACACGACCATTGGATGATCAGCCAACCAAGCAAATCCCAGTTCGCCGTGAGGTCGACAACTGCTCACAACTGCTGAGATCGCAGCCCTTCAGCTTGCTGGGTCCCAACACAAACAGAGGCACAAACAGCGTTTCAAGAGATCAAAAGCACGGATGGGCACCCAAGCATGGGGGTAATCGCGGACCCTGAGCACCTGGATGTTGAAACAGAAAAGCCCACCGTTAGTTCACCATCACTCTGAAAAGTGCTCAAGAACCAAGCATATATACAGCAGTATATGATCAGTAAACAGATCACCGGTGAAAACGCTGAGCTAAGTTATGTACTCACTTGCCCCAGACCTGCCTCACCATAAGAAATGGAATGTCGGATCCTTTTCAAGGTCTGCAATGTGAGATAGCGCAGAGATCTCATCATTCATCCTTCCAGGAAGTCCAAAAAATGGGAAACCCACATAGTCCAAAATGCAACGTTTGGCCTGTCGAAGTGGCATACCCATCCCCACGTGGCTCTTTTCGCAGAATCGATCAAGTTTCTGGGGTCCACCGGAAAAGCTGGGCTCAGTTGGTATGACCAAGTGACTGAGCACACCTACGGTCAGGGAACCGAAAAAGCCTCAAAAGAATCGAAAGGATTTGATTTGTTTAAAAAAATGGTAAGATTGTTGATGAAAACAAAACAAGACTTTGACATTTCTTGCTTTGACTGAATTCGATTCCTGACCTTACGTTGACCCCCAAACAGGGCCATGGACCCCGAGAATGTCAGTGTGGCCACAGTGGGAGAAATTTTTGTCTCGCCGCTTTTGTTCATCTAGAGGCTAGAGATGGCCAGAGGTGGAATTACCTTTGCTCCTAGTAGCGTTCTTGCTCCTAGTAGCGATGCCCTTTGCTCCTAGTAGCAATGCCCCTTGCTCCTAGTAGCGTCCTTGCTCCTAGTAGCGATGCTCCTTGCTCCTAGTAGTTCTTGCTCCTAGTAGAATTTCCTCATCTTCAGCAGTCTTGCACGGCCTCGAATACCCTACCTATCCCTACAGAAGCACTCTGCAACTATCGATGACAAAGAGATCCATGGTTCCTGATGGTTCCTGGGTGGGGCAAGGTCTGGTGAAATCAAGCCGTGTGGACAACAACATACGGTTCTTCTTTGAGTCGAGGGAAGCCGGATGTCACGCAGAGTCGGATTCATGGGCCGAGTCAAGCAAAGACTGCTGTTGGCGCAGAGTGATCATTACAAATATTTCAACAAAAGATACAAATTAATAGATTTCGAGGCTGGGAGACTCCGAGACTCCTTGAAGGCTGAAGGCCCGATTCACGGTTCAACGGGGTTCAATGGGGGTTGATTGCGTTCGATTGAGCTGTTGAAAACCAGGGCTAAGCAGCTACACATCCTGAATCTCTCCCAAGATGAACTGCCTGTGCTCAAATGCTTCATTGGCTCACCTCGGGCAGTGTGTCAGCAACTCAAATGCTTCGAGCACAGCTCCAGAGTTGGAGATGATTTGAAAGCCCTTGACATCTTCGCTTTCTTCGCTTCCTGAGGTCTAGTCACTAGTCTTGTCTTGCCGGTGCTTTATCTGTTTAACTGGCACACTGGGGAACTGTCATATATAATTAACTATATAGTATAGATAAATAAAGGAGCCATTCTCGTATGGTATGGAGAACTCTAGTATTGCCCGATCAAAACTTGCCTTTGTCTACTCAGACTATCTCACCACTTTCTTGAGATCTGAACAATTTCCAAACCCCCTGACTTCCTTCAAACCGCACTAAACCGCCCTGCGGGCCGAACACAACCCAAGGCTTGGAGGGTTTCAGCAACTCTAGCTGGATCACCTAAAAAATAACATTCCAACTCGGACACCTTCGCACGCCCAGCTTGCTAGTGGCAGTCTTTACCTGTGAGGCCCCCACAAACTTCAGAAGAGCTGCGGCCAATTCTCCCAGCCTCAGGGGCAAACCAAAACCATCTAAAATTATCTGTCCAGCGTCAGGGGCATGATTTGTTCTATCTAATACAGCATTCCTTTTCCTATTCTCAGGCTGACACTTTTGGCTAGGATCCGCGATGACACTGAGGGGGACGTTGACATTATACTTTTTATTGAAGAGATTCCTGGCGCAAGATCGAGCAAGGAGTTCTTCTGGAAAGCAAGTCGCACAAACAAATGACTTCAAATTGCAAAGTTCTCTGTTTGCAATGACGCGGTTTGCAATGACGAGTAATTACTTTGAACGGGAAGCTCTCTCAACAAGGCTTTAGCGCTACTGCCTGGGCAATCGAAGCTCATCATTGACCAGTCTTTCTGCTCAAGACTGGACTCTAAATGCATCCAATACTGGTCCATACTTTGTATTATTTTTCACTTAGCGCTTGGAAACCGCCAACCCTTTCCTGAGCTGAACCAGCTCTAATGAGTCCAGGCCTAAGGTCGTGAATCCTCCGGACCCTACCAACGACTACAGCTCTCTGACTCTCTGCGTTCAATCATTCGTTGTCACAATTCAAGGAGACACTGTATCAACACCTGTTCCACAAGCAAATCCACTGAGGCTTAATGTTACTCGAATAAAGAGAGCCATCCCCTTCACGGAAACTGCATGGCGTTTAAATATAATTGGGGCAAAATAGGGAAAATGCTTATCTTTTGCCAACAGAAACAAGACAAAGTCTGCAAATGCCTGAGATCTGTGCCGAGTTGATGTAGCGACTTCCCCTTAACTCGGCCCCTTGGTGGAGACTTTGCATCGGCGACGCTTTGCTGATCGAAAATACAGTAGGACGACGGACAGAAAGGTGTATGAGCGAGGAATTCCCGGGTCAATATTGCATTCCCGCCATGGAAATGACTGAGTCTCCTTACTTGGACCACGCATGCAAGTATGCAGTGTAAAGCCTGGTGTGTTGACGACGAACACGCTGCAGCTTTGCTACGGCCTACAAAAAATCGCGTTCGGGCAATGCCTAAGATCCGCCACTGCTGCGATGTGCGTGTTCAGTCGTTTTCATGATGTGACATCCCTCCACCTAATAGCGTCCTTGCTACTGCTTTGCCTTTTTCAGTGCAGCCATCCTGGAGTCACAGGATGCGCTTTTGCAGATGTTACCTGTCTTCGATTTTTAGCAGGGAGGCCATCCATGGTCCATGTACAGTGCGCAATGATCCGACAAAGCTGTCACATAACATACATATACATATTACATATAGACACATACTTAGGCAACCCTGAAGACATATTATATATACATATTGGGTTGGGCGACCGCTTCTTCAAATACTTTTTCATGTGTGCTATCCGCATGGATACCAAAGCTGGCTCAGAATTGTCACATCGACATGACACACAATGACAGCCCGCAGCAGGCTCTTACTGGGGTTAATCCTTGTACAAGCTCTGCTAAAGGGTCTACATTTACATGAATTCAAAAAGGAATTAGCACTATCAAGCCAATGCGGCAAGATAGGAGCAACCACTTGATGTCAAAAGCTGGACAAAGCGCCGTCAGAATCCGAAAATGAACTTCGTGGCAGCTTGAGTGTGCTTGAGTTTCTGGTCAACTTCAATTGCACCACTCTGACAAGGCCCAACCTGACACCCCCATGAGTTGTATCTGATGTGATAAGTTCGTATGACATGGAGGCTGCACTGGTCTTAGCCCATGACCAGGTGCCTCCACCTGCTTTGGCTTGTTGTGACAGGAAGCCCTCAGAAACGGCCGGCCGAGTGTTGAGGACGTGCGTTAGCCACCAGCACAAAGTGTTTTCACGCCAAGCGACCTCAGCGATTTGGCTGACATTGTTCAATCCACAATCCAGCCCCACCCCAGCCAAAGCCTTGATGTGGTAAGCTTGGGTTTCATCTGGTTCTGAACGACATGAGGCACTGTCGCACTCCACATCCCCAATGTGAGCCGCTAACCAGGACCAACTCTGCACGATGCGTGGCCCGAAACAGGCGTCAACCAATCAACTGCAGGAGTCTGCTGGGTCCGCAATCCTTTTCTCCCGACCAAAGCGACAACCTGTGCCCTAACCCAACCCTCCCTTGTCCTGTCTTGGGTCTAATGGTTTATTGTCATCCATCTCCTCTCAAACATGAAACATGAGTGATTGGAACGCTAATTTTTTCCGAAGGATAGCACTTCCACTGCGCGAGGTGGAATCCTTTGGCTGGCAACCACCGTCCACGTCTCATCAAATGTATAGTAAATGGTGAATACAAACGGAATTTGGTTCGACAAACTACGACATACTCATGTTCTTGTGAACCGATGTCAAGTTTCATAGCGCACAGTCTCTCGGGCATCTGTGATGTTTCTCCCGATACTGAAAAAGGTACGGAAGGATCAGAATGATTGGAATGATGAGTGGTCACCAGTGGTCACGAATGGTCTCTTGTATCATCATCTTGTATCAAGCCCACAATGGAAACACACTTCACGCCTGGATGGAGCTCTCTTTGGAACCATCCTCCTGCGGCTTTGTTGAGCTCTGAATAAACTTAGTTTGAGGTCTTCATCAATGTGTTATTCGTTATTTGTCGTTCTTGGTTCTTTAGGCAATCTTTTTCCAGTGTATATTCATTTATCCACAATGCATCGACTTTTTCCGACTTCTCCACGCAACAAGCTATACTTCATTGGCTCCTCCGGGGCTCGTGACTCTTCCTCACGTGTCCCTGCGTCAGAAGTTGACTGAATGCAGTGGACTCAAATCGCAAAATTAAGGAATAGAGTTTGGGTGTTTGGTAAATTGTGGCAATTCAAGACTCTCAAACTTTGACCATGGGTTCTGCTAGCGGAAGCGGAACACATGGGTAATAAAATGCACCAGCATAGCCCCGAAACAGCACTTCGGCAGGTGCATTGAGTTTGAAACAGAAACAAGCTAGAAGACACTGCTGTGGGAAAAGAGATGAAAAGAGTGATGTTTCCGAGGCCAAGAAAACTGGAAGACTGAGAGAACTTCAAGTTGAGAAACGGACGCAAAGGATCCGAAAGTTGCCGTCTAAATCGAAGGCGAGAGCAACACAATTGATATATATATATATACAGTTACAACTGGCTTTTGGGGGGATTGGCACCGGGGAAGGGCAGCTAGCAGCCAATGTGCTAAGCTAAGTGGAAGCCATCTACTTACAAGGACACAAAGGAGGAAGGGTGTCCAAAAAGGCCAATAATTCCTTGACAGTCACACTAGTGCCCCCTGCCAAATGCCACCGTTCCGAGGCAGCCCAACTGTCATGGACGTGGTCGAGAATAGGCAAATCCTGCAACAACTTGGCACCGCGGCGGATGCGAAGTGGGATGATCTTTCTTGGTAGCAAGGTCGCTACTAGGAGCAAGCGCATTACTACTATGTAGTAGCTAGAAGCTACTGTATAGTAACCTAGTAACAAAGGATGATCTTTCTTGGTTGGTTGTGAAATGTGGATGTCCAGCATTCTGATGTCTTGGAGCTCGGATTGGTCATATCCATAACGGAAGGCGCGCCCACAGGCATGAACTAGAAGTGGCCCAATCCTGCTGAGTGGGCGCAACCTGATTCATCTGGCACCGGCAAGCTGCGGTTTCACAAACTCAAGATCATGGTTGTTTCATGCCAAACCCAGGTGGTCGCCCGTCGGCTCATTCTCCTTCCACTGCGATTTCTCCCATTGCACATCACATGCGCAAAGCTGCGAAACGCCCTGAACCTGACAGACTGAAGGTCTTGTCGCTGCAGTCGAAGTGTCTTAAGAAAACAGTGGGCGACTCCGAATTCATTACATTCTCCCAAGAAGTTGTTTAGACGACTAATGATAACCGTTCACAACGCCACTGGTGATGAAAGCTGAATCTACTTTCTATAGCTTTCTACCTCATCCCGACTCTGCAAAACTTATGAAAGGTCACTCCTGTCAGTGCTTTATAAGGTCTCCGAAAAAGCCTACAGTATAGCAACTACTCTTACTCTTTTCTCTTTTTTTTCGGAGGCCAAACGCAAGCTTTAATGGAGACCCTTTGCTCAGATCTGAGCTGTTTGGTCCCCAAACGAAACTCTTGTGAGTCTTGTAATATTCTGGTATTTGGGACAGTCTGTGCTTCTCTGCCCCATGGTACTATGCAACTCGGGTTGACTCTGTATTGACTAAAGAAGCACTTGCAAGCCTTTTCATTTGCCATCTGCTGTGTAAAATCAGCTGTGGCAAAGTGGCTGGGCACAAGTTCGAGTACATGGTCTCAAGTGAGGAAGACTTTGATCAGCGTAGCGTGTTTTTGATTATTGCCAAGTACAATGCAAAGGGATGCAAAGGGCTGAGAATCGAACACTGATCTTCAAATTCAATCATCATACACTCAAAGTGAAGGTTCTCTACCATAGTCATTCCTTGCTGAATTGAACCGTGCCTCCATCGCTTGGCATACAGCAACAAATAGGCAAGCCAGCGCAGTCCGCGTCGAAAGCGGCCTTGCATGTGCGAGCTGAAATTATATACGTGTATATATACAATAGTTGTCCAACAAAGGAAGTGTCAGTGTGTCACGCTTCTTTCGTTGGTGCAGGGTCAAACATATCTGATTGGTCCAACTTCTGGCATCTTTTCTGCGAATCTCTGTGCTTGTCTACAAGATCTACAAGGATCCGAGGGCACGAGACAAAGCGAGCACGGCACAGGAAAGGACACACCATGTACAAATCGCCACGACGACCGAGCTATGCACGAACGACAAATGCTTGACCAAGAAATGAGCCATGACTCTTGACTCAGACATTATGTCATAACGACTGCGACACGAATACATACCATAATCACTCCCACCAAACCGTGGCATTGCTGCAACCCGCTGGATCAAATAGGATCCAACAAGTCCAAAGGAGACACCACCTACTCAAAAGAGTATTGTTCATATGTGCCTCCTCAGTGCACCATCACAAGCACAGTAGTCGCCTGTGACCGTGTCCTTGGAAGCCTACAAAAATCTACGAGGCCATTCATGCCCCAACTCACAGGTTCAGCGTCATGCGCTGCTTCTCGTGGGCAACCATGGCCAGGACGCCGTCAAGAATGAATCCAACATGAATGTATCATCACACCATTCACCCAACCAGGACACACCACAAACACCATGGCCTGGCAACCTCAGAACATGACCACAAACCACAGCATGAGTCAAACATAGTCAACCATATCAATGTGAAGGGCACCACCAAACACCCGACCTGACCAGGAGTCAATCAGCACCAAACCTACGATGCAAATGAGTTTGATATAGTTATGCTAGCTGAAAGTGGTAGTTGTTATTCTACAACATAACTAGCATAGAGCTAGGGATCAGGCGTGTCACCCTCTTTCACGGCTTGCTCGTAGGCCTTGGTGCCTTCCTGCGCCGCTTTTGGGGTCATCTCATGGGCATCAACAAAGGTTCAAAATGTTTGAAGCTGGTATTGTAGAACACAATCTTTGGATATCTTTGGTGATGTTGCTGAGAGTGCAACACACCCGAACCACATTGTCAGCTTCCGGTCCGCGTTGGATGCCAAAAAATATCACTTCGCAAGTTCGAACGACGCTTGCAGGGTTTCTGAACTACATGCACCCTGTCAGGTTATTGGGAAGGAAACAAGGTAAGGGAGTGAAACGGAATGAAAAGGGACGCAGCTACAGTAAGCTATGGAAAGGCATCAAAGTCAGGTGGCTAAGTGCAAGTATCGGCACTCATACATCAAAAGGGACGGCTGTGAGCCTGCGCCATGCCCGCTTCACCTCAAAAGACCCACCAAAAGGGTAAGCCAGCTACTGTGAAGAATGCGGCTATGCTGGAGAGCCCTCAGCTTCTTCAACCAAATATTGCCCTTCTCAAAGAACGACTTCTTGTTCTTTCATCGCACTCACTGAAGTCGTTTGAATCTCTAATGACTTGACAGTAGTCTCCCACCGTCTTCCGTGGGATTCTACAGATGTGCTTGAAGTTTCATGTCAATGGAGCTGGAACTCAGATACATAAACTGCTCAAGCTGTCAAAAGCCATCTGAGATGGCAACCCCATGGACCCCAATTCACAGAGATGATGCGGCATGACGTGGAGTCCCCCTGCAGGGACACTCGATGACAAGGTCTCGAGTAAGTCATGGTCGTTACACGTCTTCATCGGGGCCGTATTAAAGGAGTATGGTCCGCGGATGGGTCCCGCGACGTGACGGTCATGACGGTGTGGACGCTGACGCTGACGTGACGTTGACGTGGCTGAAGGCAAATGATTGGCGACGACGCCGTGACGTGACGCTGACGTGACGCGACGTTGACGAATGGCATTCAGATGTACTTGCGATTGGCGATGACGCCGTGACGTGACGCTGACGTGACGTGATGTTGACGAATGGCACGCAGATGTACTTGCGGTTCGCGTTGACGTTGTGACGTGACGTTGACGTGACGTTGACGTGACGTTGACGTGGCCGAAGGCAGATGATTGGCGATGACGCCGTGACGTGACGTGACGTTGACGAATGGCGTTCAGATGTACTTGCAATTGTCTTTGATGCTGTGCATGACGTGACGTTGACGTGACGTGACGTTCACGAGGGCAGATGTATGCCGGCAACGTGACGTTGACGCGGACTTCTTCGTAATATGTAATCCCCCATGGGATTATGGTAGTCACATATGATCGGCTGTGACGTCAACATGTGGAAGTACTATGTGGAGCTAGCAGTCAGAATATGGTTACAAAGCCTGGAAAGAATCTGTACCAAAAAGCAGTTAGAATATGCGTGGGTCTGTGCCTGTCACTTGCTGGAGCATCGTGCTCACATGTGGTGACAGTCTTAACCTGCGGAACTTCTGCACTTCTCTTCCTGTAGTCTTCTATTTTCTGTCTTACTTGTTCTCTGGGAGGCACGGTGTTTTTTTTGACGGGCAATTAGAATATGTTTCCAGGGATGCCTCACTGTAGTAGGGTCGTCGACCTCATGTTGTTACTAGGTCGCAGTCGTCATTGCGGGCATAGTAGTAGTAGAAATAAAAACAAGAGTAATAAAAGTAAAAGGTAATAATGGTAAGACTAGTAGCAGGAGAAGTAGTGGTAGCAGCAGCAGCAGTACTAGTAGTAGTAGTAGTAGTAGAAGTAGTAGGAATAGTAGTGGTAGCGATATTTGGCAAGGCAGCTAACTTGCAACTGCTAGGCACTTGCCTTAATGTGGAATCTCTTCTTCGGCGAAGTGAGACGCTGACGGGCCACATGGAATTGCAGTTGGGCAGTTGGTGATGGGATGTTACATGATGGTGGTTGCGATGGGACATTGCCAAATCCAAACAACCCCTTTTGGCGCAGACGTGTTGCGGGCGTGTCACACTGATGCGTGGACAGTATGAGGAAGGCCCAGACCAATACATAATTAATAGTAATAAGTAGTGTATTATTAATAGCGGCGGCAATAGATCGTTTTTCCCCAAATAGTGCTCCGCACTAAGGGGTTCTTACGGTAAGAGTTAAGGGCCGGGTTTAGATCAGGGTTCGCGCGTGTGGTTGCGGCATTTTGCGTGGGCCGGCTCGCACAAAAGTTACTTTTTGAATTCCTCATGTCCATTTCGACTGCGCAGGCTCGCATAAAGTGGGCGTCGCGGGTTTCGCGCTTCCGGGACAAAGCTCTCGCGCAGGTGCCGTGCTCGTTTTCGGACATGAAATGCATTTTGCGTGGCAGGCGCAAGGAATTCGACACATTGGAGCCTCGAAAAGGTCATTTTACGTGGCAGGTGCAAGGAATCGGAGACTTTGCAAATTTCGTGGCAGGCGCAGTGTTTTGTGGACGTTGCAAAAACGTTGGCAGGCGTGTGTCATTCGCAGGACTGCGTTTCACGTGGCAGGCGCAGGGAATCCGCACCATGGATGCGATATTTTGAGGTGAAACGGCTGAATTCGTGAGAGGGGTCGCATTTTTGGAATTTGAACTTGAGGATGCTTTTGCGTGGCCAGGGCAGCATTTCGTATGACCTGCAGGCATGATTTCGTGGCAGGCACAGCATTTCTGAAACACAATTCAAAATTTGCGAAGCCTCGTGCAATTTGCTCATTTTGGATCTCCGATGTGCAGATTTCCTGGCAGGCGCAGCACTTTGTGAATCTCGATGCGCAGGTTTCGTGGCAGGCGCAGCACTTTGTGAATCTCGATGCGCAGATTGCGTGGCAGGCGCAGCACTTTGTGAATCTCGATGCGCAGATTTCGTGGCAGGCGCAGCACTTTGTGAATCTCGATGCGCAGATTTCGTGGCAGGCGCAGCACGAGGGTTTTTTTTAGCCTACCTCAATCGCACTTGTGGCAACCCCGTGTGGGTAAAGGCTCTGCTCAAACATGGAACCAAATACCTGGCCCCCTTGTTGTTGACTCTTTTGGAGGCGCGTGCCGCCAATCCGATTTCGCGCGGCGGCCGGGTTCTTTGGCCCCACGTGGATGCCGAGTATGATTCATGGCTTGCGTCCTCCGGCTTCGTCGCATCCTTCACCTCGTCCCACGCGGTTGCGCTGGGGCGGCCCCTCGCATCGGAGTCGCACGCACTCGCAGCTTGCCACTGCATGCACACGCGGAAAACATGCGCGTCTGTAGCTTTTTGTTTTACAACGACCTTCAAGCCATACTGCTCTAGCATTTTTGGCACTACGTTGGTCGCACTCTCCTCCTTACAAACTCACGCCTGGTCCCTCTTTCACATGCTTCCGCATCTGCTGCTCTCATCTGTGCACTCTCACATTTGTGCTCTTGTATGTATCCTCTCATATTTGTGCTCTCATCTGTGTGCTCCTTCTTTCCTTCCACGTGATGCCATGTTCCATCTGTTCCTCTTTACACTATTTGGGGTCCCTTGCCGGTGTAATTTGTAAGTTCGCGCTAGCGGAATTATTGGGCGGTAACAGATCACTCATGACAGATCCGAGTATCCGCAATGTACCCGTCTACTGCTAGTGACTTTGCTGCGTGAGCTGTTGTATTTCCTTGGTGTCCGGATATCATCACCCGTTGACATCTCGAACGTAGCGGCCTCGCATTTCTGCAACATCTGTTTACAAAAGGAGCGATAGGTTGGACGGCGTGGAAATCAATATGAAATACGCCCAGCTTGGTTTGGCGATGGAAGGCACAGACGCAGCGGAGCAATCTGTCCGTAGCTGGTACGCAAACTGCTGGCAGCCGTCCCACAGCATGGAAAGGCACACAAGCTGTTTGCAGCCGGCCACGGACAGAACTGGAGCACTTTTTTCATCATCTTCTTGGCTTCACTCTCCTGCGCTTGTTGCCAGGCTGCTGCGCATCCATTGCCAAGAGCTGGCGAAAATGCCTGCCGGTCACCTTGCAGCAATCCATGAGCAGGTTGTGATAGTAGACACTCCGGTGACGACCGTCACTTTGTTTGGGGGAGCAAAAAAGACTATCTTCACGTCCTTACCCTCATCCTCTAGAGTTGCAATGGGAAAGGCCTGCGTCGCGGCTTTCATTACTGTTTCCCACTGCTTCTTTGTGACGCCGGCTCGGACTTTCCTGCCATCGTCCTGCTCCACCACTCTCCGCAGGCGGCCTTGAACCATCGTCCAAGTCACGACCGGCTTGCCCACAAGCACTGTTGCCTGGCAAATCTCTCGATCTGTGAACAAAGGCTTCTGTCCGCGCTCGAGAGGTTGGACAGTCTTTCCATCAGCCCCGTACCCATCAGACAAGCTGCAGGCAGTGTCAGGCGTCTTCACTTCGAACACCTCATCAGACGATGCATCATGAAGCGCTGGCAGGGCTTGCAGCTCGCCTTCCACAGCCTCGTCATCGGGCAGGGGGTAGGTAGCATGAAATGATCTGGTTGGGTTGCAGGGAAGGGCAACCCCAATTGAGTGGCTGGCATACCTGGCGGAACCAAATCCCCACGCACAGACCCCGCCACATCAGCGCCAGGGTAGATTTGCTCCTCCGGCATATTGACGGTGTCTTCCACCCATGCATCCCGCAAAGCTTCAAGGACCTTGTGCAAACTCTTGGCGCGGGCCACATACGCACGGCCAAGGAATACTTCCGGCCGTTCCGCATTGGAAGGTGGTGACAGGGAGTGAGAATCCACGAAAATGTCCCACGCAGCCAGCAGCAGCCAGCACGGCGCACAGCAAGCCTTGCTTCCAGGGCCCAACTCCATGCCGAGCAGCAACGTCATACTGCCCTTTCTCCGGAAGAAGGCACAAAAATCGAAGCATGGAACGATGAGCAGGGTTTTGTGGACTCCCCTTGACAAATTCAACAAAAACAAGAAACATGAAATAGACAGTGGTAAGCGTCTGTAGCCAGAGTTGCTAGCACAGAGCTTTGAGTCCGCATGGTGGCAAAAAGCTTCTTGGCCGATTCATCAAACAGAAGCGTGGTGTGAGGAGGGAAGAAGCGCAGCACCCGTTCTGCAGCAGGCTGAAGAGCATGTTGTGGAGGTAAAGGAACATCACGGTCGCCCATGCGGCATTCTGCCGTCGCTATTGCTGCTTGTCCGGGCTCAATGCGGTAGCGCCACCGGGTTTTGACCCCATCCGGCAGCTTCATTTCATAGCCAGCTGCATTGGGTAAAAACCGAACACCTCGAGCAACGTCAGCATCATCTGGGTTCAGTTGGCCAAGAGCTTCGTTGTCATTTGATGCTCTGGCCAGTTTTCCTTCTTCCACAGCTTTCTCTGCAGCATCCGGATCAGCGAGCAAAGACCGGAGACCGCACAAGGAAGCCATGTCAGGATCTAACTCTGCCCACACCCAAGGTGCGTGACCATCAGCAAGGATGTATTCAGGCGGCAAAGGGCTGTGTGGTGGGATTGGCTCCGCTGTGTAGAACATAATGCGCTCCTTGGTGCGCCCAACATGGTTCCCAATTTCCGCCCTTTCCATGGGCAACGCGACTTCCGGGTGCATGTTTGCCATGATGGAAGAGCTCACTGGCGGCGTGGCACCTTCGCCAAAGGTACCGCTGGTCTTGGTTGTTCTGGAACATTCTCCAAACTGGAGCAAGCGGTTCAACTCCCCCGTGCTGATTGACTGCCAGCGCCGCAGCTGCACCTTTGCGCGAGTCGTCAGCGATGAGGC